AGCATTTAAAATGTGGATACTCTGAATTGAGTTGCTTGAAGTGTAAAATACATACTAAGGCAACTTAGTATAAAAAAACATAAGATCTCATGACTAAAATTTAAAATATTGATTACATGTTGAAATAATATTTTGGATTTATTGAATTAGATAAAATATATTATTAAAATTAATTTTACCTATTTCTTTTAACATTTTATAATCTGGTTAGTAGAAAATTTAAAAAACACATGCCTCACATTTGTGACTTGTATTATATTTCTCTTAGATAGCACTGTTCTAGATTCAACCTTGTTGTAAAAACTGCAACAGACAAGAATAGGATGATAAGAAATGAAGAGAAACAGTGCTTACAAAATTACATTTAAAAAATCTTTAGCACATCTTAATTGTTCAATTTGAAATAGATGTGATATATCTAGCTTTAGTTTGTACTTTATTTACGCCACCCTCCTCCGCAAGACTTAGTTTTTGCTTTTAAAAAACTAATAACTGGAAGAGACTAATATTCTAGTGAGTAAGGCTACAAAATCCTTCGTTGTGGCTTTTAGCTCCTGTCCATTGTGCTATTCTAAAGATCTATTCTAAAGATCCATTTGTTGTTTTTCCTCCAGATGTTTCTAAAAACCTTAATATGTCCTTTGCTTTTTGCTTCTTCTCGAGACCCTTGCTTGCACTTAGAGCAGCATTAACACTGATCCAAATCCCAGTTTTGTCAAGGGACCACAGTGAAGATCAGAAAGCATTTCTGATCTACAATTATTTATGTGCAATTCTGAAATCCAAAAAGTTCTCAAAATTAAGTTATTTTTGTTAAATCAGTTGGCGGAGAACCTGACCTGCAGCAATGTAAGACTTTTTGTAATCTTTATTTATCCTCCTTTGTAGAAATATTTATGTGTTTGCTGTAAAAAAAATATTAATATGTTTGGGTGTAAAATGCTTCTCTGGACCCAGGTAGAAGTGATATGCTATGCGCATTGTGTTAACCTTTCTAAATATCAAAATAATAATAATAATAAATAAAGCTAGATGTAAGACTTTCAGGTAAGGGATTTTGGACTTCTATTACCATCTCACAGGAATTGAAAGTATTTCCTTTTTCATAATCTGTTTAATTCTATAGTTAAGATGTTTCTATATTTTAAGATATTTATCTTTAGCACATACAATCTGAACACAGTGACAGAGGTAAATGGGGTCTTCCTGAAATACACCTTTGTCGTGTCACTCTCAAAGTGCTTTCGGAAGTTTTTTGTATTCGTATTTCTTATCCTGGAATTTGATACCTGTGGTAGGGTGGTATCTGCCTGGTACGGTCTTCTTTAAATCCCTTTTGTATTTTTTTCTACCCCAAAAAGTTTCTACCAAAGTCAGTTAAACAAAGCATCCTTGACTCTGTTTCTTAATATGTGTTATTTCTTTTATTCTGGAAAATCCTTTTCTTTTTCTGTCAAAATTCTTCTTATTTTTCAAGATGGATTTGAATTCCTACTATTTCCTGAAGTTTCTCCTGGTTAGCTATCGGCTGGAGAAGGGCATATATGTATGGTTTGAATGTAAATATAATTTACCTCTCCAACTAGATTTTAAGCTAGAAGAGGCCCTGTAATAAACTTAATGGTGATTTGCATTTGTTAGATATGTTTATTAATGTTTGCGGGGAGAGTGGAATGAGAGTCTGGTTGAGCAGCAAAAGTATGCTCTGATCAAATTGTCAAACTTTTTGCTCCTTTTTCTGTACTGTTTTAGTTACTATACAGCTAAGTAGCATAAACAAACAGTAAAAATGGGGGTTAGAAATGGGAACAAGGCCCTGTAGTTTTCCACTACTTGGCAGGAAATAGGTCTGTCTTGCTTTTATTCTTCAGTTTAACAATGTGAGGTTATTTTGGTCTTGTATTTCCACATATTCTTTTACATTTGTGCATTAATTTTTATTTTGAAGAACTACATCTTAATTAATTATAGCCATTTAAATATAGCTGTTTACTTTTAAGGACTAAAGCATTTTACTGAAATAATTTTAAAGGACAAGAACCAGCATTTACTAAACTTCTACTACATATCCGATACTGTTATATATTTAATATTATTTTATTTAATCCTTAAATAATTCAGTGACGTTAAGAGCTATCTCCCTAATTTAGATATGAGAAATTGGCTAACGTTACCCAGTGAGTGACAGAGCTAATATTTGAAATCTAGATCTATCTAATTCTGCCAGAATATTGTTTGCTAATGAGTTTTTCTTAGCAGAAGAATGAAGGGTAACTGCTAAATAAAAGGTGCTTAATTATGTAAACTAAAAAGATGTTTTGGAATTGTGGTTTTGTTATTTTTCTCACTGCAATTTTCAGTTTCATTCTTTGCCCATTATCCAAACTCATACTTAATTAGCAGTCTTTTGTTTAAGTTTTTCATATATCAAAATGAACAAACAAAAATGTTGCAGGATGACATAGCGAAAAGAGAAAAGAGTTGATCTTTTTTTTTTTGAAGTAGAAATTTAAATTTTATTTTTTAAAAGAAGTTCAATATTGGACATCTTCTATATGCTTTTAGATCAGCAAATTTTAATAGGAAGGCCAATATTTGGGCATAATAATCAGCAAAATTAGTGTTAAGTTTTTAAATGTAAGCTGCATAACAGTTGACTTAAGATAGTACTGAAACTAGCAATAAAATAAAATCAGATGTTTTATATACCTTAAGCTTATAAGAAAATAGTGTTTTAGAGTTTTATAATACAGAATATTTAACACTCTCTATTAGATGCTCTCTGATAGGATGATGGAGAACATAGGTTCACTGTTAAGTATATGGGAAATATCCACCCAGATTTGAAAAAGGAAGGAGGAAACAGTTAAATGAAGAGATATAAAGCAGTCTTGGCTATAGAAAAAGAAATAATATCATATTGTTCCATAAAAACCCAGTATAGAGTTTTAGTGTGTTGTGTTAAAGGCAGGAAAAAAGGACCTTATGGAGAGGAAGACACTGAAGGTCCTGGGAGGAAGGAAATATTATTGGGAGGAAGTCCTTGTAAAGGGGTTGGAGCAAGATACTGGAGTCAAGAGATGATGTCCATTTTAGGATGGAGGCAAAGGTATAGTTTTAAAAATAAACTTCCCTTACCCAAAATAAAGACTTTTCTAAATTATATGTCTAATAAAGGAAAGATTTTTCGCACTAACCAGTTTTCAGTCAGTAATAAAATGGGGCCAGAAATTCTTTCTCAGAGTTCTGTCATTAGAAGGGGTCAGGAATGTATCCCCTCTCCAAAAGTAGGCAATAGAATGCATTTTTACATGGATTAAAATTTAGGCAAGAATACCTTTCATTCATTTAAATGCTAAGCTGTAAAATCTGAGGATAAGATCGTTATAGAAATTTTTGTTTCCATTTTTAGGTAAGTTTCTTAAGTGTCTACCAGTCTCCTTTTCAAAAGTATTTAACAAATATTTATTGAGTTCTTTGCCAGGCTCTTTAATAGCTGTGGAAGGTACATAAATGGATGAGTGAAGGTTCCTGCTATTCTAGAGCTCACATTCTAGTTAGATATGTAAACAAATTATCAACACTTTTTCTCTGCTTAGTCTTTTTATTCTTAAAAACCAGATTAATTTTAAGATATAACGCAGACATCATAAAATATATGAAGGAATGACGTATTGCAAGAAAATGTAAAGTATCTAAAGTCAGTGTCTCAAAGAGAAATTATTAACTCTAAAAAATAATGGAGTTGGAGTGGTAGTACTTAATTCTTTTAAAGTTTTTGACTTTTAAAAAACATTTATGTAAATGTAGATTTATACAGTTGGTTTAATGGAATTTTTCTTGTTTCTCATATGAGCAAACATTCAGCTAATATAATCTCTTCCATCAGATATAGATCAAATATTTATTGATACTTGTAAGTGAAAGGGTATAGCACACTTTTGCTTGCTCAGTTTTTAAGTACTTTGTTCCCAGTGTTTGGCTGTTCTTGGAAGGTCAGCATTTTCTGGGATATGTCTTTAGGAAGACACTTGAAAAATTTTTTAATTTTTAGAGAGGAGAGAGAAAGAAATATCTGGCTGTCATTCCATCTAGGCAATCACAGTATTGGCTTACATGGAATATTTCTTACTAATTTTATGAATAAAAAATTAATACTTGCATATAAGATTGTATTGGATACTTTTTTTAGATGGGTCGGGGGCAGATATTGTTTACACGTACATATTTTTAGTACTCGATTAACATTTCTGAAGGCTACTTTGCCTGGCACACAGGCCACTTTAAATAGTAGAAATGGTACCAGTTTGCGGCTTGCAGGTTGATGCTTTAGAAGACTTCATCTTTTAGAACAGAAGATTGGTACATCTTGCAGTGTCAGAGACAAAAGATGCGTTTGCCACTCTAGGGAAATTGCTGATGTTATGAGAGTGTCAGAATGAATTTCATAATGTTAATTTTAAATAAAAACAATTAAATTAAAAAATGTACTAAGTAAAGAAGTCCTAAAAAAGACATCAACTCTGTTTACAAGCTGTGTGACCTTGTAGCAGAATCTGTTTCCTTAGATGTAAAAAAAGGCAAAACTCTCAGGATAAAATAAAATGTTATAAAACAAATGCAATAAAATAATGTATGTGACTGTATGTTATAATTTGAAAACAAACATACAAGCAAACTTAAGGTAATGGTATTTTTAATTTTTAAATAATCATTTAATAGAAGAGATACATGCTAAATCTAATATTGCCAAAAATTTTAGAAGGAAGGGTAATTAAGAGATTGGAGAAATAGAGGTAAAACGTGAGCTTATATTGAGTATTTGAAATTATTCTTATTAAATCAGCATTTTGCCATTTTGAGAAAGCATTGTAATAGGGATAACTAAGATGACACTTGGATTTTGATGTAACAGGCAGTTGGAGTTATCATTTTTATATACATGTTAAGAATAAATACACATTTTTTTCTCTTCCTTCTCTTTAAACTTAAACTTGAAGGTTATGAATACCGATGGCACTGGGAGACGAGTACTAGTGGAAGACAAAATTCCTCACATATTTGGGTTTACTTTGTTGGGTGACTATGTTTACTGGACTGACTGGCAGAGGCGTAGCATCGAAAGAGTACACAAACGAAGCGCAGAGAGGGAAATCATCATAGATCAGCTCCCTGACCTCATGGGCTTAAAGGCCACAAATGTTCATAGAATCATTGGTAAGTAATTCCAAAAATCTCTTAGAGGTGGAAGCCAGGAATGAGAAAAGGTAAAGACAGGCAATAGTTTATAAAGCAGCATTGTAAATTATTTATCTTTTGAGGGAATATAGAAATCATCTGTTAACCCTTTTTTCTAACCAAGACTGGATCTTTTAAATGTTGGCTTAGTACTATGCCTATATAGTTTGAGTTGAAGGGGTAAACACACAGTTCTTCATCAAAAGAATTCAGTCCTATTACATGAATAATGTAGCTTATTTTAAAGCTTACTGTGGGTGCAAAGGAAAGTATTTTGCCGTACGTTTATTCCTTATTGATCAGTCAGGGAGTTTTGACCTGCTTCATTTCCAGCCTGGGCTAGTTCACCTCTCCATAGACAGCCTGGTGGTCCCCCACTCCTGGGAGGTTACCATATTGATGCCAACGTAGTGAAGACACCTGATCGCCATAGTGCACTCCTGGTCTCCAGCGATTCTCCTGGCTCAGCCTTTCAAGTAGCTGGGACAACCTGCGACATTGAGCTGGGCCTTCTATTCCCTATTAATCTTCATAGTGCTTCTTTGTGAGATTAGACTTAAAACTCTAGATCTGGGAGAAGATTTAATCATAGGTTTTTGTGAACCAACTGCTTAGCCATTTTAAAGTGAAAATGTGTTATGTCAATATGTTCTGTGTTCTTTTATAATTCATTTATCTTCTAGGTTCCAACCCCTGCGCTGAGGAAAATGGGGGATGTAGCCATCTTTGCCTCTATAGACCTCAGGGACTTCGCTGTGCCTGTCCCATTGGCTTTGAACTCATCAGTGACATGAAGACCTGCATTGTCCCAGAGGCTTTTCTTTTGTTTTCACGGAGAGCAGATATCAGGAGAATTTCTTTGGAAACTAACAATAATAATGTAGCCATTCCGCTCACTGGTGTCAAAGAAGCTTCTGCTTTGGATTTTGATGTGACAGACAACCGAATTTACTGGACTGATATATCACTCAAGGTTAGCAAAAGAATTGGAATATTAAAACTGGGGACTAAATGGGAGAGCTTCTAGAATTTCTCAGTCTTCATGCTATGATCAATCTCTCTCATTGCTTGATAGACAAAGTTCAACAAAAACCTTCAACTTTTAAAGGAAATCAAGGGAAGGGCCCATTCAGTATTTTATTAAGTACTTTTTTATATAAGATACTTTTCTTGAGTGTTCTAAATTTGTAAGACCTAATCTTCCTCTACTGCGTTCCATTCGAAGATAATGGAATGGCATTTTCTGCAGGTGGAGACTAAGCAGTTGAATGCTTCACATAAATGGCTTTTAGAGACTTGACTCAATGTATTTTCAACAAAATTTAGGAGCCTGACTGAGGTAGAAAATGCCAATTATGAATTATAGCACAACTTGATTTTCTTTTTTCTAGAATAAATACTGAAAAGCATACTGAGTGATAAAGTGGAGTTCTCATAAAATCTGGAGAATAATCTTTTCTTCTTCTAGATGGTTTTGGGCTTGTTTCAGATAACTTGTGTAAAATGTCTAACATGCAAAAATCATGGGTTATTGAAGCCAGAGTAGGATTCTAGTAGTGTTCAGTAAAGTCTATTAAATGAGTGAATAAATGAAGTAAATAAATAAAGCTTAGCTTTTATTGTGTGACCTTCTAAGTTTCCTCATTTTGAAAATAGAGATAATGCCTATCTTTCAGGGCTGTTGTGAGGATTAAATGAAAAAATATGTGTACATGAAGTACCTAGGATAGTGCTTGACAGGAAATAGCAGCTATCATTAATAGCTTGAATTATGATTGTTTTAAATTTTAGGGAATTCAAATCTATAGTAGTAATATGATAATGGTATTATGCATTTTATAAGGTATAAGGTTATTGAGATCTTAAATTCACATCATGGCATGGCACATACTATCAAGCACCTTCAGAAAGCCAATTACTAGTTAAGAGTACAACATTCTGGTCATATCTTTTTTACTTAATTACTAATAAATTTTAAAGCAAAGTCATTCCACTGTCTTATTAGAATAAATTTTTAGTACTTGAGAAATTCAGAAATTTTTCTGTGAATTGGTAGTAAAACTTGAAGTCACAGTTATTTATTAGAGATATCTTTTTTTTTTCTGTACTCAAAATTTATGAATTGTGTTAAGAAACTCTGCTGCTGGTTCTTCTGGATCTTCCCACTCAACAAAACCCGAACCAAACATTCTGTCTGGAAAGTTTTGTCTTAACCTCTTTGACTTTGTTGTTAATCTTGTTTTTGCAGACCATCAGCAGAGCCTTTATGAATGGCAGTGCACTGGAACATGTGGTAGAGTTCGGCTTAGATTATCCAGAAGGCATGGCAGTGGACTGGCTTGGGAAGAACTTGTACTGGGCAGACACAGGAACGAATAGAATTGAGGTGTCAAAGTTGGATGGGCAGCACCGACAAGTTTTGGTGTGGAAAGACCTAGATAGTCCCAGAGCTCTTGCGTTGGACCCTGCTGAAGGGTAAACAGCTTTATGTATGCATTCTTTACAACTACATTGTGCATGGGCTAGTTATGGAGTATATTATTGATGGCTTAATGCTTATTAGAAATCTGACAGCTAAACCATAGATAAGCTTTATTTTAAAACCATTAGTTGAGGAGTCACTGATTTAGAATGAATAATTACTAGCTAAATTTTACTTTTGTCATTATTAACATTGGATGAGGAAAGATTAGTGAAATGGATTAATAATCTAATTTTACTGCTCATATATACCAAGTAAACAGCTTTTTTAAAGATATCAAGTTTATATATGCTTATACCCTCTTCTTAAGTTATACCAGATTCCAAACCTACTAAACTCATGGAAGTAATGTGTGCAAAGAAACAACTGCATTAAAGAAAGCTCCATTTTAGAATATTTGTTAATTCAAAATGGACAGTTAGTTTGATCATTATTATAAGCTTGGACAAACTTTGGTATTAAACAACTAACTTTTTATAAATTAACAGTAAACTATTTACAAAGAGTTAGATGATCCTTCTGCATGATTTAATAAGTTTTAAAAAGCTAGCAGTTAAAGAGTTCTGAAATTTGAACAGTTCCACTTTTAAAAGCAGAAGTGAATAGTGTGAGCATAACAGGCATATTTTACAATATCTATAATTAAAAATACCCTGAAATCACATTTACTCTATGATTAGCTAGTTAGCCATCTAATTAGAAGGCCATATCAAAGGCAGTTTCCCTGTGCTGACATGTTGTGGTTGGATTATGGTGATCTTTTACTCTAAGCATTAGTTACCAGACAGATAAATTTAGTAGTTGGGACAAAGGACTCTAGTTTATGTGGGTGCTGGCAACTGTGAAATTTCTCTCACAGTTGTTTCTCTTTGGCTTTTGTGGTGTGCACGTGCCTGTTAGCTGACAAATAGAGACGAAAACATAGTCCAAGACTAACTTTTCAGAAAAGCATGTTCATATATTGCTACCAAGTCAACCATCACCTGACAGGCTAATGAGTAGTGAATGTCTGTCTTCAGGTATTAGATGAGAGCTGACATGTGGAGTGCTTTCCTAGTCCCAGTATTCAGAGTATCTTGAAACTAGCAACTTACTAATTTAGTTGAAAGGGCATTCGGCTAAGGATTAGGTTCTAGTTCTAGCTCTGTCATGTGATTAGTTTGAAGACATTAGACAAATCATTCACATTTCTTTTAGTACTTTGGTCTCCTTGTCTATAAAAAGCCTATAGAACTGTAGGGCTACTCTAAGTGAAAAACTTGAAAAATTAAAATAAAAGCAAAAGAATATTCTAAAATTTCACAGCGATTGTAGTAGCAGTGTTCACTGCCCAGCTGACACATTAAGGGATGATTCATTGCTCTTATACATATAGTATGTTCCCTTGGACTGTGTGTCCAAATACATTTTCAAACTTTGCTTTTTTAACTTCAGTTAAAGCCTGTTCATTTGTATTTTAATGTACTCCTGCAACTTGTTTTTGGTGCGAGTTGATTACACAAGTTGAAAAGTAAGTTTAAAACTTTAGAAACTCATATTACTTTTATTCAGAAATACATAAATATATTTTATTCAGAAGTGAACCAGATTCAGAGACCAGAGCTTTAATCCTTTTCTATCTTTTTGAATATTAGTTTTATAAATGCAAGTGCTGCAATAGGAAATCATTGGTTTGTTTCCAGTTCCTAGGTTTTGGATGGAATACATTCATTGGAAAGACGAAGGAACGCTGACTCATTTCCTTTTTAGGATATAAGAAAAAATATTTAGTTGAGGGTGCCAAAATAATTGAAAAATTATAGCCATGATTTTGTTTTACCAATTTCCTTGATTTAATGTGTATTTTCTTTAACATTATTTAGTTAACTATGCATGAACATGACCTTTTCTTCCAAATAATCAAAAGTGAAATGTTAACTATCCATTGTTTTGAATTTAGATTTATGTATTGGACTGAGTGGGGTGGAAAACCTAAGATAGACAGAGCTGCCATGGATGGAAGTGAACGTACTACATTAGTTCCGAACGTGGGGCGTGCAAATGGCCTAACTATTGATTATGCTAAAAGGAGGCTCTATTGGACAGACCTGGACACCAACTTAATAGAATCTTCAAATATGCTTGGTAAGCTTTCTTTTTTTTGGTTCAGACACATAGTAGTATATTGTTTTTTCTATGCAAAAATCAGAAAAGTTGCTATTACCATTGTTAGATACTATTAGTAAAACTTCACATGAATGTCTAGATTCTTCTTTTGTCTGGCATTGTATTCTGTTTATTGTTACTAATAGAGGGCCAGGTACTTGGATTCACACATCTTTATTATGCGGAAATTTCATTATTGTTGTGCTTGTAATGGAATTTATAACTCCCTAGATATTCCTGAAGTGACTTTTTATACGAGCAAAATATACTATATTCATTTCCATCTTTTTATGGAAGGCAGAAGAGAAGTTGAACTATAGACCCTAATGGAGAGAAAATAAGACCACAATCAAAATAGACCATTTGTAGGAGTTTTAAACAAACTCAGTGATTTATAGCAAGAATATAAGTTGGAAGCATGGGGTCAGACTGCAGATGGATGGATTTCAGAGGACTGGTCTGGTTTTAGAATTGCTTTTAAATGAATTGTTCTACTTTAAATTGCTTACAAATGTAATGTTTTATGTGTTATAGTTTGAGGGAGGGGGCAACAAGACTGATATTCTCACATATTTTATCCGTCTGCTTTTCCCCTGTCTACTGCCTTTCCGAAAATAGGACTCAACCGTGAAGTTATAGCAGATGACTTGCCTCATCCTTTTGGCTTAACTCAGTACCAAGATTACATCTATTGGACGGACTGGAGCCGACGCAGCATTGAACGTGCCAACAAAACTAGTGGCCAAAACCGCACCATCATTCAGGGCCATTTGGATTATGTGATGGACATCCTCGTCTTTCATTCCTCTCGGCAGGCAGGATGGAATGAGTGTGCTTCCAGCAATGGGCACTGCTCCCATCTCTGCTTGGCTGTGCCAGTTGGAGGTTTTGTTTGTGGATGCCCTGCCCACTACTCTCTTAATTCTGACAACAGGACTTGTAGTGGTAAGCTGCATTCCCCCCATGAAAAAAACTAAAATTGGAGAAAGGATTTTGAAAAACACTGTAGTTCTTGTTCTTCTTGGAGTAAAAAGTTGTAGAAGTCCAAAGTTGATCATTTATTTAATAAAAGAGAAGGACTAACGGTGGAAAAATACAATTCTTTATTACTTTTTTTTAGATGATAGTTGATATTATGAAAATTGATATTATAGAAAAATTAAATTTTTTACTCTTGAGCATTAAATAGTGAGTGTAAAATTTACATAGCTTTATTGAGAGATAGTCATGCATATATGCTATATATAATTCATATTTATTCATTATAGAGGAAAGGAAAAGTAGTGCAAATAGTACAACAAAGAGAATCTCCAAAATACAACCCTCTTGTCCTTTGAAGTTCATAGAATATGCTAAAGATAAAAAATTTAAGTGTATAAAAGGCCAGGCAGAAAATACATATGAGTAAATTTAGCCCATTATGCAACAATAATAAATAGAGGGGAAACTAGAGAGCACATGCTCTGAACATAGTGGGTGGTCGCTGCTTAATTCCAAGTGATGTTACTAGATATTCTTAGTCATGAGTAGTCCAAATTTTTTTTTTTTTTTGGCTGCACTGTCTCTTGATTTTTAAATGTTAGCAAGTAATGCATATTAAACAAATACACACAGACACACACAGTGCTAACAACAACGAAACAGTGTGTAACAAAACACTATTGGCTTAGGGAAAACTAGTTTATGACTCAGGTATACATGGATGCCCATGTCTTGATGGATTGACAACAACAAATTGGTAAATATGATAAAGAAATAGAGATTAGGTCAGAAAGCATAAGAGAAAAGTAGGATATGGTTCTCTAGGGTAGAAGATAAAATTGCTGTAGGATATTGGGTGTTATTTACTATCGAAATTACTTTATTCCGTGTCTGAAAGTATAAGAAGTCACGCAGGAAAGGATTTAGTCTGTTCTGATACAAGGCTTCAGTTGTGAAAAAGAAAGAACAAAAGTTTATAGTTTAATGATTTGGAGTCTCTGCCATAGTAGTTTTGTGTTTTCTAAAGTAAATCACATAAAATTTTTAAGCCTCGAATTTTCTCATTTGTAAAATGGGAATAATAATAAATACTTTGTAGGATTACCATGAAAAATAAATATGATATAACATGATTTGATTGCTGTGGAGAGTAGATTTGAAGAAGAAAAGAAGTGGTAACAGCGAAGTCAATCAGCCTAGTGTGGTAATGCCAGTAGATTTGGACTGGGGTGTGGCAGTGAGGATGGAGAGAAGCTGATGGATTTAAGGTATATTTTGAAGCTAGAACTCATTAATGGGCTGTATATGGGGAAGGAGAAGGAGGGAGGAAGCAAGGTATGAATTTTAGATTTTTGGTTTGAGCAGTGAAGTAGATAGTAAATGAGGAAGTATAGAGAGGAAGGTTAGTTTTCAGGAAGAAAAAAAAATTTAATTTTAGGTGGGTTTATATTCATTTTCCTACGGGGCATTGCAATGGAAATACTAAATAGGTAGTTGGACAGAAGATTCCAGAGCTCAGGAAAGAAATGAGGGTGCAGATAATAAATTTTGGAATTGCCAGCATGTATTTAAAATCGGAAAGAGTACTTAGGAAGAAGATTTAGAAATTTGGTCAACAAACATTTCCTGTAAAAGGCCAGAGTAAATATTTAGGCTTGTGAGTCCTATAGTCTCTCGCACCTACTCAACTCTATCCACTGTAGCATGAAAACAGCCATAGACAATACATTTTAAAATGTGACTGAATTCTGATAAACATTATTACAAAAACAGGCAGGAGGCCAGGCTTAGCTTGTGGACAATAGTTTGCCAACTCCTGGTATAGAGAAAAGAAGGGATCTGGTAACCTAAAGAGTTCTGGTTGAAGAGGGAAAGCTTACAGTGGACACCGAAAAGTAGCAGCCAGAGAGGTTAAGAGAAAGACCAGGAGAGAGTAGTGCACAGAAGACGAGAGATAAGCTTGCTTCAAAAAACAGCTGTGTCGATGCTGCTGAGAGATTGAGGAAGATGAGGCCTAAAATAGTATCCTATCCATCGGATTTTTGAATAAGGAGGTTATTAGTAACCCTGAAGAGAGTAATTTCAGGGATGTAATGGTGAAAGAGTAGATCAAAAAGTGAATGGAGACAAGGAAGGGGAGGTAGTATATATAAATGTCTTTTTCAAGAAGTTTGACTTTGAATGGAAGAAGATGAGGAAAATAATTGATAGGGAATTGAGACAAGAAAATGGAAAGACCTTTTGAAATCATTATGAGTACATGTTAATTGGTGAGTGAAGGCCATGAAAAATCAGTGCTGTGAGTATCTCTAATATCTGTCTTTGGTTACCTTTCTACGATAGATCAAGTGCTTCAGGAAGCTTCCTGTTGTATGTTCTTTTTATAATGAATACTATTTAATATTTGTGTAGAGGTTTATTAGATTTCAGGAAACGTTTAACACAGAAGACTTGCCCTCAAAAAGTTTTCCAACATTGTGTAATGTACTCCCTGCACTGTGTTTCAAAAGCTAAGCCAGATCATGATTTTCTGATCAGAACCTTACACTGGCTCCCCATTTCACACAGAGTAAAAACCTAGTTCTTACAGGTTCCTACATGATCACCTCCCCGCTTTTGCTTCTCTAACCTCAGCTTTTACTACTCTCTCCCTGCTCTCTCCATGACAGCCAGACTAGCCTCTTTGTTATTTTCAAATACACCAATTACTCCCCTTCTCAGAACTGTTGTACCACTTATTTCCTCTGCTTGGAATATTTTTCCTGCAAATATTTACATGGATATACTTCACCTCCAAGTCTCCCTGTTGTGCTTCACAGGAAGACTTGGTCTGCCCTATTTAAAATTGCAAATCATCCTAGCATTGCCAGTTTCTTTTTCTTTTTCCCATAACACTTGTCACTCTTTGATGTACTATATAATTTATACATTCTATTTATATATATTACAGCTTTTTATTATGTTTACTGTTTATTGTCTGTTGGACTATAACTCCACAAAGCAGCATTTTTATCCCTCTTTTTTCACTGATACATCTTAGGTGCCTAGATTAGTGCTTGGCAAATAGATAAATTTAAGAAATTGTCATTAAATAAAAGAGTGAAAAAGCAGGGCAGGATTTGGAAAAACACATGTGCTCTTCCATTCAACACCTTGTAAGTAAACTTATGCAAAGAGGTTAAGTGACTTAATTAAGATCAAGTGATTAGATAGAGAGCTGAGACTGAAACCAGTCTTGAAGTGTCTTCTTTGACCTGTGGAGGCCCAGGCTTCCTGCTACCCACAAGAATAGATTATGGAGGAATAGGATTATTCACTTGATAAACAGGGAGAATTTAATATGTTTTTGTCAAACGTTTCACTGAAATCAAGTCTCCTGTGATACCACTATGGACAAGATGGGGAAAAATAGGCTAGGTGGCTCTGCCATTGAGTAAATTCATAACTGGTTTGGTAACCAGAGTGCTGATTAGAAAGTTTCTGGGAGCATATCAAAGGTTTTTGTCCTCAGTCTTACCTCTCTGTCTGTTTTGTATGAGATATAGCTGCAAGCTGATCAAATCTTTGAGTGATACAGACTTAGAGTAATTGTGTTTCATATTTGCTCTTTTCTTTTTTAAGCTCCAACTACTTTCCTGCTCTTCAGTCAGAAGAGTGCCATTAACCGCATGGTGATTGATGAACAACAGAGCCCTGATATCATCCTTCCCATTCACAGCCTTCGAAATGTCCGGGCCATTGACTATGACCCACTGGACAAGCAACTGTATTGGATTGACTCACGACAAAATGTGATCCGAAAAGCACAAGAAGATGGTAGCCAGGTAATTCAGAGCTCAGTGCAAAATACATTTCTTCTGCCTAGTAATTAGACTAACCAACACTCCTGTTAAGCCTTGATTTTGTGTGCGCCTGTGCGTGTGTGTGTGTGTAAAATTGAAATTCTAGACTGAGCAGCTTTTTTTCCCTTCTAATGATCTTTGAGTAAATAACTATTTGATAATGCTATTGGAATGAAAATCTTATTAGGGTAATTTAGGCTTATATATTGGTAGTGAATTTATCACTCCCACCCAGATACATTTTTATATATATATTTTTTTCATTATGATTCCCTCTACATGGAGTGTTGGAAGCTTCAAAATCTAATAGACCTTGATTCTGATCTCAGCTTTATCCATCACTAGGTTTTTCATGAACTTTTTGGCTGAATGGAATGTAAAGCATATATTCTATTACCTGTTACATGATAGGGACTCAATAAATAACAATTTGTTACTAGTTAACTATTTTCTGAAAGGTTTGGTGGATAGGAAACATACAATACAACCTTAGTAAAATTAAAAACATTTAGGATATGTTATGATTAATTCAGAGATCTTTTTTTTTTCGTTTTGAGTAAATATTTGCTGATTATGGTGTGGGAATGAGAATATTATCTACAGTTCTTACCTGTATGTACATACCAGTCATGGTTTATATACCACTAACCATACTTATTTACTTTCTTTCTGTGATCAAGTAGTGTTAGACTGGGATTACTATAAATAATTATTTGTCATTTTCTTCATGGCAGTGATGTTAAGTTTGATTTTGAATGTATGAAAATTTAGAGAGATTAGATTACTAATTTTTTATATGTCTTATCTCACACAAAAGAGCAAACAGATAATGTATTTAGGGCTGCTGAGGGGTCGCTAGGGTAGAGGTATAGTTATAGTGGTATATTGCAAATACACCTTACACTGTTGTAGGCCAGGACTGATAACTAGTAGAGAGAAATTATAGCTGTTACTATATAGCCAAAGACACAGCAAATAAATAAGATAGCCTCATTATGGAATATATTACCTTAGAGATGCTAAGTAAATAAAATATAATTTATTCAGGTAGAACAGATAAACAAAGCTTCTCTTTTTGCTTGGCTTTGTAAAAAAATTTTTTTGAGGGGGTGTGGATTTGAGGATTAGAGAAGGACATGATTGATAGATGTGGTTTGTAGCCCTAACTGATGTTGTCTCTAGGGCAGGATTTCTCAGCTTAAGCACTGTTGACATTTTTGGACTGGATAATTCTTTGCTGTGGAAGACTGATGTATACGCTGTATGATATTTAGCAGCATCTTGCCTCTACCCTCTAGATGCCAGTTATACTCCCCATAGGCGTGACAATCAAAAATGTCTCCAAACATTGCTAAATGCTTCTGCTTTTAGCTGTATTTCTAAGGTGTAGTTCTAGCCATGATTGTCTATAAGAGAGAGCTGCCAACTTCTCATGTTCATCTCTGATCAATGCATTATCAGGTTCTTAGACCAACTAATACAGCTTAAGGTCACGCTTCTGCCCATGTCATAATAACCAAATATTTGAAATACACATTAACAAAGAAGCACATTACTCATAAAAAATGTATCAGTAAGAAAAGTCTCTTGAGACTTCTTCTCAGGTATGTGACCACATAAGTGTAAGCATTGTGAGTAATTGCCTCAGGGCTATCTGGTATGGAGTCTGATTTTCTATGTGTTGTGTGTCTTTTTCTTTCCCAAGGGCTTTACTGTGGTGGTGAGCTCAGTTCCTAATCAGAACCTAGAAATACAACCCTATGACCTCAGCATTGATATTTATAGCCGCTATATCTACTGGACTTGTGAGGCTACCAATGTCATCAACGTAACAAGGTTAGATGGAAGATCAATTGGAGTGGTGCTAAAAGGCGAGCAAGACAGACCTCGAGCCATTGTGGTAAACCCAGAGAAAGGGTATGTTGCTAAAGTGACATTCAGATGTCTTGGCATCTGAGACCCTCATCAGCTTTTCTTTTAAGCCCTTATTTATTTATCTGTAGTGTCCTGTGCTCCACTGAAAAACTTGGTATTCTCTATCTACTTGCCTCTGCCTTTTCTTATATCCTTGCTTTCTCTGATTTTATTGCCTAGAATTTCCTTTCTTAGTCACTGTTGCTTTTGTTCTAATTTCTCCCCACACCTCCAGGACCACTGGAACTGCAGCATCCTTCATGAAGTTTTCCTTGATCTGCCCCATCCTCGGCCAGATATGATTTTCCCCTCCAGATGCCCAGCACGTTGGATCTCTGCCTCTCTAGTCATACCCAGTCCTTTCTAAATTACCTTATGTTTTTTCAGTCTTATATTTCTTACTAGACTTTCGGTTCCTTTGTGACAAGAATTAATATGTCTTCTTTCATTTGATACAGAGCTTTGCCTTTAATAAATAGTACTTATTTGCATCTGAATAAATGATAAGGAATTCAGCAGGGAAAGTAGCTTACTTCAAAAAAGTTACAGGAAAGAGATGAATTCTAGAAGTTAAATATAAGAAATAATTCATATATGACTTGTTTTTAGTTATGAAATGGACTAATTAGAAAAAGAATTTAAAATTTTGTGTCCAGATCTCTGGTTACTGCTCTTTTATTTATTTTATTTTATCATAGTATTATTTCAAAAGTATAGATGTGCCTATGTCTAACACTTCATTTATTGATCCATGAAAGCTAGCTCCCTCAGAAATTCTGTGTACTCTTTGTTACTGTTACTGAAAGTAAAAAAAGTATCTTACGGCCTTTTAAAAAATATACTCTAAAACATTTAAAAATAAGATTTAAAAATGTTATTCTACCTTTTTTTTGTTTTAATCAGCAAGAATATTTTCATTTTGTATGGTTTCTTATTTTGTTAAACTTATTGTTTCTTCCTTTCTCTTCAGATATATGTATTTTACCAATCTTCAGGAAAGATCTCCTAAAATTGAACGAGCTGCTTTGGATGGAACGGAACGAGAGGTCCTCTTTTTCAGTGGCTTAAGTAAACCAATTGCTTTAGCCCTTGATAGCCGATTGGGCAAACTCTTTTGGGCTGATTCAGATCTCCGACGAATTGAAAGCAGTGATCTCTCAGGTGCCTAAAAAAAATGTGTTCCTTTATTTTGATTTGGGTTATTGAGATGATTCATCCATAGCATTTGTATTTTTCTTCCACTGTATTATTTTTGTACACATTTCTTTACAGTTTTATTCACTAAAAGTAATCAACATCAACTTGGTTCGGAAGCACTTTTTCTTCAATCATCAGTATGATTACTCCCTCTGTTACCTAATAACCTGCCAATTTTCTTCATTTGGGCTCTGTAAATAATATATTTCTAATGGATGTCTTCTCCTTTTTTTAATTCTTCTGCTCTAGTTTATGTTCTCAGCATCTCTAGCCTGAATTCTAACCTATGATTAGTCTCTCTGCTGATTCCCCACTCTACTTTCACTCCCTGAAAGTTTACACACTTTTCCTAGTTTAATTTTCTGAAGAATGGTTTCTAATCATGTCACTTCTCTACTAAAAAAAATTTTCAGGGTAGTCTCATAACCTGAAGAAAAATAGTATAGTTGTACACTTAAGTTGGTATTTGCCTTTCACAAACTCATCATCAAACTCAAATGATCTTAACATTCCTGGTGTTTTAACCAAATTGAATCATTTGTTGGTCTTCAGATGTACTTTTACTTTCTCATTTCTCTACAGTCCTCTTTACAGTCAGAGTTACTTCCCCTCCCCATAATTTCTGATGTCCAAATATTCTATTTGGCATCACTCTAGTGATTATAAAAATGAAATTAAAATAGTACACTATTTACATCTGTCAGAATGGCAAAAATATGTTAAAGTTGATTATACCCAACTTGGCCAGAGTGGTAGAAAATGGCATGCTCTCATGCACTTTGGTGGAAGTGGAAATTGGTAGAACCTTTTTGGAGGGCAATTGCCAATAAATCTCTCTTTTAGATACTGTCTTAGAGAAATGCTAACCCAGTGTACAAGGGTATTTATATAATCTATTACAGAGAAATAATTTCTACTATATCAAGTGTATACAGTATTACAGTCGTTACAACAAACGAGGTAGCTCTGTGCAGTGACGTAGAAGGATGTATTTAAAAAAAATTAAGTTCATTGTTAAGAACTAGTTTTATTTAAAATTTAATATTATATTTATCGGCAAATTGTCCTCCAAATACGTTGTATTTTTACAACATATACACACATATATATACATATACACATATGTATGTATACTATTAAGAAGCATATGGATATATATGTTTATTCCTTGAGAAATATGCAACAGAATAAAGCTCTGGAAGATTAGTATACGCTAATATATTGAAGTTATTTATTTCTGTATCATTTGAATACATTTGTATTTTTTTTTTTAAAACTAAAGAATATTCTGTCTTTCTGGGTTCAAATGCTTCCCCTTCCATTATGCCTTCTCTGGTTTCAAATAGTCATGCACACACTTATGTATGTGTGTACACATATGCTTAGCATGATATATTCTTGCTTTCATCTAATCACCGATATCTCTTATATCATCTTTAATTTGTATAATTGCTATTTATATCAATGTTTTAACTCTTATTAACATTAAAGGGTTTTTTCCCCTTCCCTTTTCTGTTTCTCTTCATTTAGGATGCTTATTTTTTGTTGTAAGAGTAACATGTTCTTTAAAGACAGTTTAGAAAATTTTTAAAAAGAAAATATTCAAAACACTATCATTATGAACACTTTAATAAGTTAACTTTCATTTTTTATATCACTTTCCTGCTCTTCTGTCCTATTTATCTTCATGAGTTTATACCTTAATTTTTTGCCACTATTTAGGTAGATTTTTAGGAAGCAGCATAAAGTAAATTTGTGTATAACCCACCATGAATCTGAATGTTGACTTAGGCAATGTCTTCTCATCTGGAATATTTCCCCACTTTTCTCCATCTATTAAAGCTTCGCTTTATGCTTACCTCTTTCCTGGAACTTTCCCTGATATTTTCAAAGTATAAGCTAATGGTTTTTTGATAGAATTCATCACTTAGGAACTATGAAAATATTCTATAGATATTTGAAGAACTATTATGAAGAAGAGAAAAGGAAGAAATATGTATTCTTTTCTTTTTGAATGAGTGAGAAGCTATGGGGGTGGGAAGAGGGGCACAGATTTCAGCACACTGCGAAAGAACTTTCTCACAGCTCAACAATAGAATAGGTTGCTTCTTCAGAGTCTTGGTAGTTCTGTGTCTAGAATATTGTAGAAAGAGTTCTGACTTTGAGGTGAGGCTTGAACCAGGTAATGCTTTGAGTCTGTCGTTTTTTCTGTGTTCTGAATGGCCAGGTGGGGTGAGGGTGGAGTTGTTCTTCACAGATGCCTCAGGTGTACACAGTGAATGTGTGAGGGCAAGAGCACAGAGTTCTGGGCTCACTACTACTACAACTACTGTTCTGACATTTTAATATGTTAGAGCTTTTCATAAACTTTAATTTGAAAACTAGACTTTGCTTTAAAAAGAAATTAGAATACTGCTCTAAGTTCTTTTCTACGTTTCTCTGAACTAGAATATTTAGTGTGTATTGGGCCTTACTTGCTCTTGATTGCACTTGAATATCTAGTCTGTTACCTGTATTTTGGTATGTATATATCTTCTAAGAATGATTTTGGAATTTTGTGGTAGAGAGCTTATATTTTCCTTTTTAATACACTTAGACTCTAACTGATATTCAATAAATTGTTGAATGTATGACTTGACACACATGAATTATTTCTTTTGAATGTGCTTTCCAAGGTGCCAACCGGATAGTATTAGAAGACTCCAATATCTTGCAGCCTGTGGGACTGACTGTGTTTGAAAATTGGCTATATTGGATTGATAAGCAGCAGCAAATGATTGAAAAAATTGACATGACAGGTCGAGAGGGTAGAACTAAAGTCCAGGCTCGAATTGCCCAGCTTAGTGATATTCATGCAGTAAAGGAGCTGAACCTTCAGGAATATAGTAAGTGCTGCTGGTGTACTGTTGTTAATTGCAGGGTTCGTGCTTAAGAAATTAAGATAAAATTCAGATGTTCTTTTGTGTCTTCTTACCTCTTTATTTTTAAGATTTTCATGTTCTTTTAGTTTTGCCACTTTTAAAAAACTCTTCATGTTTTTATAGCCTTATATTGAACTCATCTAGGAGCTTTTTCAAATTAAATATCTTTTCCCCGTAAAACAGGAGAGGGGGAAAGGAATGCTCTTACTCATTTTCAAAAATTTCCCCTGGTACAACTAAGGCTTTGCTTGTCATGCCTTCTCTTTCTCTCCCTCATACCCTCTAAGAATACTCATATAAAGCATTTTTTTTTTTTTTTTTTGCTCCCTGCACACCCCACAGTTGGAACAGAAGCAAAAATTTTATTTGTATAATGATGAATAGAGTTATGGAATAATCTTATTCTTGAGCAAAAGCAAAACAAACTTAAAATTAGTGTGTCAACTTAGAGCTAAGACCATGCTTAATAAGTGTTGTTTTCCCTTTTTGGATAAATTTTTCAATTCTCAGCTTAGAAAAGTAGCCATAAATATATATATTTTTTATCTTATTGAAACTTTTGGAAATGGCTAATCATCTTGGACTAGTTTTTTGTTAATATGTGTCTGTAATCAAAAGTACTCAGCAATCACTGCTATGGGTCTTACATGATTGTACCAGGAGTGCTAATGTTAAATGAAGGACTAAAGAGAGAACTGTTGAAACTCAACTTCCCAGCACAGTACTTTCAAATCAAAGTGGATTATGAAAGGAGAATGGAGGAATGAGCACCACTGCTTGCTTCTTTAAACCTTCATTATGTTGTCACTCTTTATGAACTTAGAAGTTAAGTTAGAGGCATTTCAGAATTAGGAAGTTGGAAGTGTTGCTCTTCTATGTTATGAGATGTAACTCATGCTGAACATTTAATAGAAATAAGGTAATCATGACACATTAGCTAAGTTATTTATTCAGTTGATATATGAATATCTTATTGTAGAAAATCTTTGTGGAGGTTTTCAGAATTTCCCAGGGAATATCTTTTTTAGTAATTCAACATTTAAATATGGTTTTATATTTGGAAAAACATTTTTTCAAATTTCTAATACTAAAGAGAATGAGATTTTTGTCAAAAGTGTCATGGAATTAAAAGATTGAGAAGCACTGCTATGTAGTTTGTGTATCCTAATATAATGACTTGTGTCTCTTTTGGGACATCTGTGTAGTATAACACAGCTGCTCATTTGTAGGTAGCTGACTCCCTCAGTGTTATCAACACATACTGAAGTAAGACTGTCGTGTTAGTGAGAAGAGAGTCAGATTATAAATGGGTGGCTACATTAGATGGTATTCTGTGATGATAAGTGTCAAGTTGCTTTTAATGCAAGCTGAGTAGAAAATTCAAAGCAGTGATTTCATTAATCATAAACAACTTGTGGGACAGATTTTGAAAAGTTGCTGAGAGTATTTATTTAACTCAAATATGAGAAAATTAAGTATTTGTAACTTTTCAGGTTATCTTTTGCAGTTGACTAAGCACATAGTTTTATTGTTTCTTACTGGTTGACTTCCATGTGAACTTTTTTTCCTTCTCACAACTCTGATTTTCAGTGAATTCCTCATTAAAATATACTTTTTGAGTAAAATCACCTTATCTTTTAAAAATGTTAGAATTTCTGAGTTAAAATCTACAGGTTAGAGGAGTCTTTATATATTAAATTGAATAATATCCAGGTCTCAGCATTCCCCCTACAAATTTTTCTAGTTTCAATAATCAGCTTTTCTTATTCACAAAATTAACATGAGCTGTACCATTACCTTGCTTAAAATACTTTAAAATATTTTATTTATAAATATATAAAGACAGTGTTTTGTATTTTTAAATAGCTGTCCTCATTTTCTTATAGATCTTATAGGGATGGAACGAGGAATTTTATTGTGTGGAAATAAAGTCCAAGATGATTTTACGTTTAGTTTTCTTGGTTAATTCATAAATGATTGATTTTTGACTAGGCTGTCCTCCCTTCTCCCTTCTTTCTTTTTTTTTTTAATATAGGACAACATCCTTGTGCTCAGGATAATGGTGGCTGTTCACATATTTGTCTTGTAAAAGGAGATGGTACTACAAGATGCTCTTGCCCCATGCACTTGGTTCTGCTTCAGGATGAGCTGTCATGTGGAGGTAAGTATGTTATTTTCTTGTGCAGTTCTAAATGCCAATTAACATGTTCCATAACTTAGTCTAGCATTCTGTGATTTGGCAGTGAAATTGTTCTTTCTCCTAATTTGATTGGTCTCTTGTATCTATTCATCTGCACCATACTGACTCTTGTGTTATTGTAAGAGTGAATCTATTGTGACAAGTGAATAGCTATAACCTAATCCTGAGACTAAGACAGCAGTGCCCTATTGAGGGAAACTCATCCTGTAAATGAGTGTATTTCCTAATAATAGTAGCTTTTTCCACCCCAGATGCTAACAAGATGAATTAATTCTACCTCTTATAATCTTCATCCACTGAATTCTAGATTCTATTTAGTTGATGTATCATTGCTGGAAATATATCCAGTGAAAAAAGTATTTTTTTGTCAAATCTATCAGCAGTTTCCTGTTTTTCTTACTTATTTAGAAAAAAATTTTAAACTATATTCCTGAGTAGTGATAATGTTATAGTGAAATTGGTTCAATCACTCATGGAAGTATAACAAATTAGTGCATTCCTTTGTTAAAGCATAGTATGATAGCATCAAACACCATAATAACATTCATCCCCTGAATTCAGAAATCCTATCAGGTAATTCTAAATTAAGTCAACTGAAGAAAAAGACTGTTCTCTCTAATTTAAAAACAATCTAATTTCTAATGATAGGAAAATTATTAAGTAACTGAGTTTATACAGCTATTAAACATTATGATCATAAGCTGATGTAAAAATGAAGCCAAAATTTGGCTCAGGTGAAAAAAATATGTTAAAATGGTGTTTTTTACTATGATGACAACTACATATAATACATATTTCTGTGAACAAAGATCGAAAGGGCTTATACACAAAATATAAAAAGACATTGAGAAGATGGTATTATAAGAATATTTTATTCTAACTCCTAAGTTTTTGAAAAACAGCATGTGTTGAGTAGCAGCTGTGAGGCACTCTAGACTACAGGAGATTTGAAGATCTTTGAGATAGAGCTTAAAGTTTGGTTGCGAAGATCAGTTATGTACACAGTAAAAGTTAAGCTCTGGTTCTTGGATTGTCTCCCCCAAAATAGCAAGTGTTGCACAACAGTGTTAATGTCCTTAATGCCACTGAACTGTACCCTTTAAAATGGTAAACTCTTTAACATGTATTTTACCACAATAATAATTAAAAAAAACAAAAAAACCCAAAAACCTGTTTCCATATCAGGGTGCTAGAGTATTTAATAAAGCAAATCTTAGAAAATTTACCTTTATGTAATGTTAACATAGATAAAACTGAATCAAGGATATCACCTTCCATTTAGAAGTCTTTCAAAAGACCTTTTGATTTTTTTCTTTTAGTGTATGTATTACATGAATAGTGTGTTTTAACTAATGTGTACAACTGTGTTACAAACACCCAAATGAAGACATACACTATTGTCATTAAGAAAAGTACCCTCATGTCCATTCTCTTCTTCCAGAAGTAACCATTATTCTTATTTTTATCCCCATAGCTTAGTCTTGCCTGTCCTTGAACTTTATATAAGGATCATGATATGAGTACTCTTAATGTCTGGTTCTCTTGCTTGATATAGTATTTTTGAGATTCAACTATACATTGGACTGTATCAGTAGTTTTCTTCTTTTTATTGTTAAATATGCCACTATTTATTATTCTCCCGTTGAGGGACATTTTAGTTGTTTTCAGTTTTTTGTTACTAAGAATAAAACTGCAGTGAATGTTGGTGTACAATTTTTATTTTATTTTATTTTACAGTGGAGATAAATAAAATACAAAATCTAAATTCCTCTGCCTGACTTCCAAGATGTTTTCATTTGAGCCTATTACCTATCCATCTCATTTTGTATTCCCAACCTGCTCACTGTTAATTTGGCTATTTTGAGTTTGATGATTACTATGACATGTTCTGTTTTGTTTTGCCACTATGGATTTACCTGTGGTATTTCAGGATGTATTTTTCTTCTTGCATGCCCATCCTAAATCTTACTCATTTTTCAGGGTGCAGCTAGTTTCATGATCTTTGAAACCCTCACTAGCTGTTCTTCACTTTTCTCTGAATTGTAGCTGTTACCACAATTTGCATAACATAACATGCAATTCAGAATAACGGAATCATATGTTTTATATTCATTAGTTTCTTCTTATCCTCAACCAAATTAAAGTTCTTTAAGGACATGGAACATTTTTTTTTTTTAATTTTTATTCTCCACACGATCTAGTAGTGTTAGCTGAATATGCAATAGACTTAAATTCCCTCTATAAACAATCTTTCTGATTCCCCATGTAAAATGTTCACCTGTAATCCACAGTATTCTCTTTTAAAGGTAAAAGATATTCTGATTTGTGGTCATATAATAAAGTTATTGTTTTCTCTAGAGAATTTACTAACAGACAAGTTTTTAAAAGAAGTCAGTGAGCCTGTGATATAGTGAAGGCAATAGGCTAAAGATAAGGAGATTGCCCTTCTAGTCCTCTCTTTTATTAATGACTATCCCTTGTTTATAGGAAGCTCTGTGACCTTGGGCAGTCACTTGGCCTCTCTGAGCCTCAGTTTCCTCATTTGCAAAACAAAGCAATGACAATTCTCAAAATAGTCTCAGCATATTTTTGCATTTAAAAAAAATTATTGAGGACTCAAAGAGTTTTTGTTTCCTTAGGTTATATTTACCTTTATTTACTATAGTAGAATTTAAAACTAAGAACTTAAAAAAATATTTATTTAAAAAACAATAATCTTTATGTGTTTACAAGTTAAATCTGTTAAAAAATTTATTTTCTAAAGCAAAATAATTTTAATGAGGAATGTGGCATTGTTTTTACAGTTTTGTAAACTCTTTAATGTTAGGCTGAATTCTCATGTCTACTTGTGCATTCAATCTGTTCTAATAAGTAGTTCAGGTTGAAATATATGAAGAAATTTGGCCTCATATAGATACATAGTTGAAAAACAGGATTATAATAATAGCCTTTTCAAATAATTATGAATATTTATCTTGAATTCTACACCAAATTTTGACAGATGACAAGTGGCAGTTTTCTATAGGTTTAGTTGCAAAGTGGAATTTGAAACTATATCAGTTAACTTTCCATAGTCTTTTATATTTAAATCTGTAGATCTATTTTGTGCTCTGAATGGATGTTTTACTATGCATGATTTTGTAACCCTATACCTTGGTCATTTGGAAATATTAGAATTTCACTCAGAAGTTCCCAGATCTTCAAATTTTGATGCATTTCATTAATATCAAAAGATCACACGTTAATTTCACCACCAGTCTCATCAGAAAAGTCTTTAAGTACTGGGAATCTGTCAGGCTTACAGTGCTGGATACAGGTTTTCCAAAATTATCATTTCTGATTGAAAGCACCAATGTTATAATTTGCCACAAAAGCATGATGTTATGATTTGCTGTTGTTTTTCTTGAAATAACAGGCTCACTTTATTTTTTAAAAACTTCCTGCCAAATACTCAAGTGTAAATAACTATAATTTCTCTGTCAATTCTTTCAAGTAAAAGTAGTGCTCCATTTTGGATTGAGTCTATTTAAAGTGCTTTCCCTTAAGAAACCATTATACTTAGATGTGAATGTGAACTTTATGCATACTTCCCATTTTTTCAAACAATATTGAAGGTATATGTACTCAGAGTTGATTTTTATATAATTAATATTTTTATTCACTAAGAACATTTTTAAATAAGACTTTTTTTTTCTTCTGTGAGTTTGTGACTGTATAGATACAATGGCTACAAGTACAATTTGGTGTCTGTGCTTTGAATCTGCTAAAGTGCCAAGAGTTTTCCCACCATTTCTTTTGTAACATCAGTGAAAATGTAGTGAGAAAGGCAAGTGACATATTAGCATTATTATAAACTAGTTTGACATTGTGACCCTGAAAAAACCTCAGGGATTCCCAAGGGTTCATGGACCACTCTTTGAGAATCTCAGAGCTAGAAATCTTATGAATTCTAAGCTAATTTTAAAATATATAGAGGTTAATGATTATAGTGATTATTCATAGGTTATGTGTGAGATTATAATGAATTGGAAATATAATCTATTTGAATTGTAGTATATGAGAAAAGTTCTGCCTTATAGTTTTGCAAGTTAGTGAATCTAAATGAAGTAGTGTAAACGTTATATTTCTCTTCTCTGATTAGATGAGATGGATTATAAATTTTATCTATGATAGTGTTTTGTATATGCTCATTACTAAATTAGCTTCATTCAGGTGCGTTTGTACCTCTGTGTGACAGTTATTTTATTTTTCTCACTCCGCCCCATCTTTGTTTATTGCAGAACCCCCAACATGTTCTCCTCAGCAGTTTACCTGTTTCACGGGAGAAATTGACTGTATCCCTGTAGCTTGGCGTTGCGATGGATTTACTGAATGTGAAGACCATAGTGATGAGCTCAATTGTCCTGTGTGCTCAGAGTCCCAGTTCCAGTGTGCCAGTGGGCAGTGTATTGATGGTGCCCTCCGATGCAATGGAGATGCAAACTGCCAGGATAAATCAGATGAGAAGAACTGTGAAGGTATCTCAAAGTCCTAGGAACCAGCTGTGTAGTCCTTTTTCCATCACGTTGTTTTAAATTCAGAGCATTGCTATGGCTCCATGGTAGATTTGAGATTTTCAAGTACATTCGTCTTTATTATGTCTAAGGATAGTAACATGTTCCAAATTACTGTTTTAATTTGCTTAATGGACGTGAGGTTTATACACATTAATAAGCTTTGCAAATTGAGAAATGAGGCCAAAAGATTAGACCTTCAATATGTAAAAATAGTCCTTGTTTCCCATGAACTCTGGATTAGTGAATTTATGAATTTATTACAATGTGAAGTAATTTCATATTTTCCTCTCTCCACTATCCTTTAACACGATAAAAAAAAAATAAATTCTCAATAAATTCTCTGGAATTCTTTAGTGTCTAGAAATGTATGTAGAATTCTTTAATTCTTAAAATTATTAGTGAAAGGTGAAATTTAACATAAAAAACAAAATAGGAAATTTCCTGCCGGCTTTCCTTTCTTCTTTCTACCAATGGAAATCCCCAGAAAATAATTTTTAAGATATATCTAAAAGTCTAGTTTGTTTTTCATTTGCACCCAGAAAGTACTTTTTGACTCTTGCCAGAGTTTGTCTTTACATTATAGTATAAATAAGAAAACTATTTGTATTTCTTTCCCAGTGCTTTGTTTAATTGATCAGTTTCGCTGTGCCAATGGTCAGTGCATTGGAAAACATAAGAAATGTGATCATAATGTGGATTGCAGTGACAAATCAGATGAAGTGGAATGTTGTAAGTAGGACTTCAACCTTGTATATTACTCTTAAGGGAGAATTTTTAAAATACATTTTCTTTAAGTATGAGGTTCACTTATCAATATTTCCTTATTAAGAAACAGATATTAATGTTAAGCTAGTTATTTGTACTACGGTTTTTTTTTTATGTTTTGCTTTTAATAATCATTAAAGACAGCAGTTTTCTTAGGCACAAAAATCTTCACAGAAACATTTAGTAAAGCATCGGAAAAGAATATATATTGTTTTGCCACAACGAAAGAAATTCTTAAACAATTTACAGGCATACCTCAGAGATAATGCAGATTTGGTTCTGGACCACTGCAATAAAGCAGATATTGCAATAAAACGAGTTACATGAATTTTTTGGTTTTCCAGTGCATATAAAACTTACGTTTACTTTGTACAATAGTCTATGAAGTGTGCAATAGCATGATGTCTAAAAAAATAGTGTACATACCTTAATTAAAAAGTACTTTATTGTTAAAAATGTAAACTCATCTGAGCCTGGTAGAAAAATAGTGCCGATAGACTTGCTCAACGTGGCGTTGCTACAAACCTTCAATTTGTAAATCAAAATCTGTGAAGAGTATTAAAACAAGGTATGCCAGTGGATAGTGGAAATCAGTCAGTGGTCTCAACCTTAGAAAAATTAGTCCATGTTTAACATTGGTTTATTTCTTGACACATTTCCACCAGACTCTCAGTAAATTTAAGACCTTCTCTAAAATGCAACTTGAGGTTACTTGAGCCATCATATACCCCTAGGCTTAGAGACTCTAGGCTGAATAGCTTATAGTTTCTTCAGGGTTTATAACTATTGACCAATGCCCTAACATAAAATATATCCCAAATTGATAAACTTAGTTCTGAGTAGAATTCAGCGTAAGCTAAGTCTTTCTTGTGAAAACTGATTTAATGGAATTTAGATAGAACTCATTTAAAAACTCTTTAATCTTAATAAAGACTTTAAGCTGATATTTTTACAGATTCAAATGGAATTCTAAGACTTTAAGAATCTGTTCATTTATTCTTTAAGCATATACTGAATACCTACTATGTGGTGAAGCTACATGGTACCTGTACTAAGTTTCTCAAAGTCCTCTGTGGTTGAGGTAGTATTAAGATCATGGATTTTAAAACCGAGCAGAGATGGACTTGAGTTCCAGCTCCACCTCTTACCAGCAAACAATTTGCTCTTATTAAACCTTAGTTTCTTCATCTTTAAAATGAAGATAATATTTAGTCTGGTGGATGTGAGAAAATTAAATGATTTAATGTATATAAAACACATAGCCTGACTCATAGAGGTACTGTTGATAAAAGAGTGTGATACGGGATATCAAATGTGCTATAATAGAGATCTCTACAAGTAGTAGCACAAAAGAATGAAGATGGGGCTCAAAGAAGACTTCTTAGAAAAATGATGCTTAAGGTTGGGTTGTTGATCTGCAGGGTGCCAGACCCCTGGGTCACTCTTGTGCTCCTTGCTACAGGCCATGCAGATATCTGGCCAGATCCCAGCCTTCATGTTTCAGCCTCAGAGGTTTGACAGAAGCATCCAGGGCTCCTGGAGCAACGAACAGCAGAGTCCCTGAGCTGGGGAGGGGATGAGCTCCCATTTTGGAGCCTGACTCCCCTTTAGCACTTTGGGAAGAAATGACATTATTCCTTAATATGCAAGGCTCACACCCAAAAGTGCCCCATGCCCCCCCCCCCCAAATAAAGCTGCCTGGCTTCTGGGAGAGGAAAAAAAAATTGGGTGTTAATCAACGAATAGTGTTAATTATGCAGTTAAGTGGAGAGATTGAATTCCAGGCAGAACAGCAGCAGATTGAAATAGCACCTTTGGGAAACTAAATGTAAATAGGACTGCCAAAATATATGCTACATCGTGAAGGGGTGTCAGCAAGAGATCACATACATAAAAACAAGGTCATAGTGGACTCTGCTTTTCTTCTGAAGCACCTAGTCGGTATTCTAGCATAATGGAGGGTCATTGAAAAACAAGTATAGGACTGGCGTGACTATGTAATTGTGAAAACTGTAAAGCAGATGGATTGGAGGTGATAAGATTATAGGTAGGGAAATCTCTTAGATTGGTGGCTTTTAGACTTTTTTGACCACATCAGGAGGAATACAAAGATGTAGGTGTACACATAAAGAAATACATCATACAACAGTATTTATCCAGATTATGTAGAATGCATTCTGAAGATCTCTGTTTTAAAATGCTGGTTGCAACCCACTAAGTTGTTTTCACCATTCAATGACTTGCAGCCTATAATTTAAAAATACTTAGACTATTGTAGTTTAGGCAGATGATGAAGATCTAAATCAGGAGCAATGGTGATGGAAAGGAGGGGATAGATTTCAGAGTTATTTCAGAAATGGAATAAAAAGGGTTTGGTAACCACTTAGCTATAGTTAGTAAGTTTAGGTTGACGCACAGAATACTTCAATGAGTGACTGGAGTCATTAACTAGAATATATAGCAGGGACTGAAAACAATACCATTCCATATCCTGGCTGCAAATATGATGTTTGGCTGATGTAGGTTTTTTATTTTTGTTCTAAATTTAAATGCCTTTAATTTGGTACAAGTGCTTCATTTATTTATGATCTACTTTACCCCCTGGAATCTAGGAAACTGACAGATGATGATGACAGTGAGTTCAGTTTGAATATTAAAGCCACCCATCATATATCCCATTGAAGCTGTTCAGGAAGTTGTTGATTGTATGGGTCTGTACCTCAAGAGATTTGGGCTTTTCAATTTATTAATGATAATTAAAGCTGAGGCAGTGGATGAAATCTCCCTGGGAGAGTTATGTAGAGGAGAAAAGTAGCAGGGAATAGACAGAACTCTGAGAAGCATCTGCACTTAAGAGATAGACAGGAGAGAATGAAGCCAACAAAAGGAAACAGAAAGAATAATGAGACAGTGAAACTAAGAGAATAGTTTTTTAGAAGGATATTGATCAGACATTTTTGAGAAGAAAATAAGAGCCAGTGGTATTGAATATCATGAGGGGTCAGTGAGATGAAGGTTTATTGAACATGGCAAATAGGAAAACGGCCTTTGCCAGAGTAGTTTTAGTGTGGTAGTGAGGATGATGAAGCCTTATTACAGTGAATTAAGATGGGACCTAGAGACTAGGAATTGGAACTAGTGATTGTAAACTGTTCTTTCTTGAAATTTGGCATTGGAAGGGAATGGCAAGGCACTAAAAATGAAAATGATGGATGATTGTTCCCAAGGACTAAGCAGAGTCTGTGTCAGGGTCCACAGATGAAATATATAACTGGCAGCCCCTACATATTATGTAACTACCGATATCATTTTCTCTCATTCCTTTCATTTACTCTGTCAGAGGGTTAGTTTAACTATGTAGATGGGAGATTTAAGGTAAGATGAAGCAGAAGGAAGGTTTTTAAAGGATCTGCAGTTGTGAGATATAATCTATTCAGAATGGAAGAATTTTGCTCTAAATGGAAGAGTAATACTCTAAATTTGATGAGCCCTTTTGCATTTTCTTTCTACCTCTAATATTGATGCTTTCTGCTTCTAAAGCCTCAGATAGCTCAAGGATCCCGTGAAAGTGGATGCTATTGTAGGGTCTTCCTCTAGTGCTCCCAATCTCTGGCTTTCTTTCTGAGTCCTCAAGAACTTAAGTATCAGAGACCTTCTGTTCCTTTCCTCAGGCAGCGAGACTCACCCTGACGGCAGCGTCATGTTGGGCTTGAGAGATATTACTCATCTTTAGCTTCTAATTTCCTTTACCAGGCCTAAATATCACTTTTCAAAACTGAAAATCAAGTAACGACTTTTCTGGGTTCATCCTTTCTGGCTCTAAAATCTTCTCAGAGATTCCAAGCTAACCTTGTTGATTTTTATTATGTACAGAACAAAGTAAGATAGATGTTATCTATATACGTATTTAAAACTTCTTAGTGGTATTTACATCTATAAGATACATCTTTGTTTTTATCAGTTTACAGTTGTACTTCCCAGTACAACTTCCCAGTACATAAGGATAGTTTGTTTTGGTTCCTAATGATAATACCCATATATCCATGGGCATGGTGTATAAGTATTTATAAAAAAGAAAAATATTTATGAATTCTCTTCATTAGATTCACATTCTACTCACCAGCTCTCTTTGATTACTATTTTGAATCTGCAGTTATTTTTACAGTATATAACTATACTACATTCCTGTTTTAGATCCAACTGAGGAGCCAACACCACAGGCCACTAATACAGTTGGTTCAGTTATTGGAGTCATTGTCACCATTTTCGTGTCTGGAACCATATACTTTATCTGCCAGAGGATGTTGTGTCCACGTATGAAGGGAGATGGGGAAACCATGACTAATGACTATGTAGTTCATGGACCAGCTTCCGTGCCCCTTGGTTATGTGCCACACCCAGGTTCTTTATCAGGATCTCTTCCAGGTGAGTTAAACTGATCCATTGGGAATCACATCTTAGTCCTGACAAGATTGCCAATTTTCCATAATTGAAACAGGATACTGTTCAGAGTCTATTTTAAACTAGACTACTTTGGGTTTAAAAAATTAAAAGAACAAATGTTCTCTTTTTATTTAGTACCTTCTCTTTTCACAAGAGACCCGAGGTATGGTTTGGTAGAAACTGCCAAAGGATATAAAGCAAATATGTGTGCAAGAATTTATATAGACTGCATATATTGCATTTCTGGATGCACTCTACCAAAAGTGAATTAGCCAGTCATTCAGTGAAAAGAGTCATACATAAATCACAGGTTCTTTAGGTTCACAACCAGGCTACTTCAGTACTACTGAGCCTAGGAATTAAAGGAGGCTGAAAAAGTAGACTAAGATTCCTTTTCAGCAAAGATTTGGAAATAGCTGGGTGATAACAGGGAGAGATATATTGTCTTAATGTTTCGTCCTAACTTTAGGTGTTGACAGTGGGGCATGGGTTTGTTCAGGCATAGCCAAGTAGCCAGAATTTCTTTGCTTGGGGAGGCCACATTGCTCTAGAGAAGTATGCTTTCTTATCAATGCTTTCTGGTGCTGTTAGGGTATAAAAGCCTTTCTTTAAATGAATGTGAAGAAGGAGGTGCCAGGCAAAAGCCCTCTGAAAATAAGGACTTATGCTGGGTGTAACTAAGTAAACAGACACGATTTTTAAACTTAATGATTCCATGTTGCCATACCTATTTGCAGTTAGTGGAATTTAGGAAGTCACTTGGAAAAAAAATAGTTTTTTCTTTAGCATTGGTAGTTGTGATTACAACTTTTTTGTATATAGTAGCCAAAGAAATACTCTTTCATACATTGTGTTTATGCCCTTAGAAATGGGTTTAGTTAGTTTCCTTTTGAGCAAATCTGTTGTTTAGTCTACCCTGCTCTACAACCTCCACTCTCCACAGTCCTTTCTTCCTGAAATCCTCTGAAAGGTTGAGAGCCTCATTTTGACAAGCTCTGGTTCCATCCTGGGGGAAGGGATGAGAACTATTCTTGGCCATGTTCTAGGCCAGTTCTCAGTGGACTTGTTCACTTCTAGAGATCATGTCCCTTCTCCCTTAAGTGTTTTCAATCATTGTTAGGAAAAGAGGACATACATTGGTTTAAAATCAGACTCTTTGACTGTTGGCATTTGTAATCCTAATATTGAAAAAAATTATTTCATGCATTTTTATAGGTCTTATTCATCTTCAATACTTATCCTCCTTTATTTTAGGAATGTCTCGAGGTAAATCAATGATCAGCTCCCTTAGTATCATGGGGGGAAGCAGCGGACCCCCTTATGACCGAGCTCATGTCACAGGAGCATCATCAAGTAGTTCTTCAAGCACCAAAGGCACTTACTTCCCTGCAGTAAGCAATCTGTTTCCTTTGTTTCACTTTGAATACAAAGATAAATAGGATCTTAAGATTTTTAGCTCATTTAAATGTAGGTACTCAGTAATGGCCATGTGAAAAGCTTTTTAGTATAGAATTTAGGCATATAAGGCTCAAAGAAAGCTTTACCATCAGTGTGTGAGACTTATAAATCCACTTTTAGGTTTACTGTGTAGTAACCAGCATATTTGAAAGCACTGGACGTTAATTGTATATTTTAGGTAAAAGTAGAACTACTGAATAGTACCTCCTGAGAGGCTCAGGACATTCATCCTCAAAGAAGAAGCACATAATGTGATCTCTCTAAACAATTATAATTTTAAAAACCAGAGCCCAGCTGTGCTTAACTTAAACCAGTAGATTGTAGATTTCCTCATCACCTTGCACTGTTTGGCCATGATGACATTGTGTTTTGAGGAGAAGAGATCCTAAAGTACAATTCAAGGTCAGTTCTTTGGAAAGGAATGGTTATGCCAGTAGTGTAACGGGAAGGAATACGAACAGGAAGGAAGGAAAGTTAGTCTAATAGTCTATATCTGAGATTGACCATTGTGATTTTAATAATTTAATTCTTTTTCCTTTTAGATTTTGAACCCTCCACCATCCCCAGCCACAGAGCGATCACATTACACTATGGAATTTGGTTATTCTTCAAACAGTCCTTCCACTCATAGGTCCTACAGGTAATACACATCTTCCTCTAATGCAAATCGGAGTGTTTATCAGAAGGCAGAGTATTCTAGTTGTGGGCTTCATGTAGCCCTAAGTGAGTAGATAATGGTTACTGAGAGGAAACTGGTGTCTTGTCTTGGTAATGCTGACATTACCCCTACCACAAATTCTTTTCTTTGAGGGCATTATACATTTTTAAAAATAGAGTCACAAATGCTGGCTTTTAGAATAATTAAAGTAGAGGCCTCAATGCTTTGGCAGTGTTCTAAGAGAGAGTTACTCGCCAGAGTGGCTGACTTCAGAATAGGTTAGTGCTCAGGTTAGGTTTGATTGATTGTCTCAGGATGGAATATTGGAATAAGACTGTGGTTCAGAGAGTTGTCAGAGCTCTAAGACAGCACAGTTACTGAGAACACATAATTTGAGAGAAGTTGAAGTTCAGTCCTTGTTTACCTACGTTATTTTCTGAAATGAGACATTTCTCATATAGTTGGCGTGGAATAGATTAAAACTCACTAAAATAAATGAAATGTATTTGTAAGTCAGAAAGGGAGATATTATGCCTTTGTGCTGATTTGTGAGTAGACAGAATATATTGAGCAGTTAAGTGTGTTGCCCCCTTACTCTTCCCTCTTACTTGAAAGGCCAGCAGAAAGTCAAAAGCTTGACATTCTCTGTCTAAACACTTAGTTCTTAGTATTTATTGGCTTCCTTCAAATGCCTGTTATCTTCTAGATAAGGTGTTTCTAGCATTCTAGTCAAATTGCTCCACTATGTAACCTTTTATATAGAAATCAAGTGGAAACTGTTTATGGTATCTCATTCAGAATTCTTATTTCAGTTTATAAATAGGACTATTTGAGATAGGCTTGACTCTGAATGGATTTTTATGTTTTATTGTAAATGTTGCATTCCCTGCCACAAGTTTGTTCTAAAAAGCCAAAACAGAGAGGAATAATCTTAAAAATTGAAAAAAAGACCTAAAATTTTACTTTAAAAATTCTAATTTCTTTTAATTGAATAAGACACTGATTAAAATGAATATAATTACATCAAAAACAATTCTCATTTAATCATTTCCCACATCTGAAATTAAGTCCAGTTTGTTTTTTCTGAGTAAAACTTTTTATCATTAGTTAAGATGTTTATCTAAATGAACGTTCTTTTCTGTTTTTTTCCCCCCATTAAAATAGATGTATTGAGCCTTTTAAATGTTGAGCCAAGAAATTTCACCAAGGCTCAACACCTGATTAGAAAAAGATAAAACCTAAAAAATACAATAACATCATGTCATTACTGGTAGTAAAAAAAAAAATTTTTTTTTGAGAAAATGTGCTCAACAGGTTATGTAACCTTTGATCTTTTGGCAGCCATTCCTTTTGAGGCAAGTCCTAAATGATAGCAAATGGTTTGTATCTTGGGGTAGCATCATCTTAAGCCACTCTCTATCACTAGATATTTTATGAATTCTTAATTCAGTTTTGCACTTGCCCCCCTCTTGCAGTTACTTTGTTTAATGAGAAAGCATATAAGTAAGATTAACTTTACCATATTTAGAATGTAAATGGTATAAGAAGTTGCAGATAAAGATAGAAATGATAGGAAAATTAGCTCTTATTTTCACTACATCATCCTCTCTTTCCAGTGCCTTTTTTTTAGTTAGCCATGCTACAACCTTGATTAACAGCTATAGATTACTTAAAAGGTAGGTAAACAAGTATAATAAATTAGGTCTCGGAAACACATATTAGAAAATTCTCTGGTCCTATATGGATATTTAGAGTTTTTCATTTTGATGTTCAGTTAAAGCCACTCTGTGACAATATGCTTGTCTATATATACATGGGATGTCAAAACTCTTTCTCCCAAACGACAGCATTTTCCCTTTGCTGATAGTAACAGCAACAGCATAGATATGCTGCTTAGGCTGTCTACAGTATTCAGCCTGTCTTGTACAGTGTTGAGTTTTAAAGAAAGAATGAATGAAGTCTTTAGGCATCATTAATTTAGTCATTAGGTAAATTATAGGGTGGTTAAAGAATGTTGAAGAAGTGCTAACATGTTTGAATATTGCAAAACATGTAGATCCATTCTTCTCACAGACCATGAAGTGGCAGAAATTGGTGAGGTCTACTATGTAAACTAAATGCTAAATGTATAACTGAGAGATCGTCCAAAGATAACCATTAAGCACAACTTTGAATAGTTTTTTTTTTTTTTTTTTTTAAATTCCATGATACAGTTTAACGTAAAGATACAAGAGCACATCAGGGTCTAGATTGAGTTCACCTCTGCATTCCCATCATATCCATTTTTAATTACCTCTGATCACATTTTATTTGCCGATATAAAATACAATCTATCTTTGTCCAATCTGCCATTGAAAATTACTTCTTAGTCTGTGCAAATTTAAATTGTAATAGCTTATTATCTTCAAATTGAAGTTTACATCTAATATCTCTCTATTCTGATAGGGAAAACCACTTTTCTCTAAAACTAACTGCTTCTCTTGATTTTTCTCTCTATACCAGCTACAGGCCATACAGTTACCGGCACTTTGCACCCCCCACCACACCCTGCAGCACAGATGTTTGTGACAGTGACTATGCTCCCAGCCGGAGAATGACCTCAGTGGCAACAGCCAAGGGCTACACTAGTGACTTGAACTATGACTCAGAGCCTGTGCCCCCACCTCCCACACCCCGAAGCCAATACTTGTCAGCAGAAGAGAACTATGAAAGCTGCCCACCTTCTCCATACACAGAGAGGAGCTACTCTCATCACCTCTACCCACCACCACCCTCTCCCTGTACAGACTCCTCCTGAGGAGGGGCCCTCCTCCTCTGACTGCCTCCAACGCAAAACTGTACATAAACAAGTTTGGTTGAGATCTGGAGGGGGGGGAGGGAGATACTAGAGAAGGATGAGGCAGACCATGTACAGTTAAAAATTATAAATGGGGTAGGGAATACTGGAGATATTTGTACAGAAGAAAAAGGATATTTATATATTTTCTTAAAACAGCAGATTTGCTGCTTGTGCCATAAAAATTTGTATAAAAATAAATTTGTACTAAAAGTTTTATTTTTGCAAACTAAATAACACAAAGCATGCCTTAAACCCAGTGAAGCGACTGAGTACAAAGGAAACAGGAATAATAAAGGCAAAAAAAAAAAAAGCAGAAGAAGAAAAAAAAATTAAGTCCGTCTCAGAGCAGCAAACCATAGATACTTGGAAGTAGCCAAATAGCCTTCATGTTAACTAACATTTGAGGGCCAGCAAGTTTAAGAAATCATGAAAGAAAAAAAAAAGGAATTAATACTAATCAGACAAAGGGCTTTGTTTTCTCTAGGAATCCAACAATTTTAGTGAGGAAAATAGATATTTATAAAAGTCCGTTCCGGGCGTTGCTGTAGTAGGAAAGATCAGCTGTCTGGTAAGACACTGTGGGGCTATTTGTGTAAGTCTTCTGTCCCTACCTTAGAACCCACACCTCTTTCAAAAATTAATTTTTTCTGTAGGTGTCTTTACCTTGCTTCCTTCTCCAGCAGTTTTGTAGGATATCTTGCCAAGATATGATTTATTCAAAGCTTTTTAACTGAGGATCGATTAAATAGAATTTTCTAAATTAAGGTTTTATTTTAATATTTATACCGCTCCATTCCCCTGTAGGCTTAGCTCTTCAGTTTGACTGCTGTTTTTGCATAATGATTGAAGGTTAGACATATTGCTCCTCTTCCAAAATTATTTTAATGCTCATTACAGTGTCTTTTTACAACACGTATAGACAGTGTTTAAGAATTACAAATTTAACCATTATGTAAATTAATCGTATATCTTTTCAGTACTTTCAGCATATAATATCACAATATGAAATCATTTTTATATATATTTTTCCTAGTAAAACATTTAATATGTTCCGGTTAGAGACAGTCTATTTAAAAATAATTTTTTGTTATTATTAGGTTTTTCCCTTTATTAACTGTTTGTGACATTTTCATGTTCTCTAGGCCAATGTTTCTCAGAATGATGTCTACATACATACCTCTTCTAATGTGTGACGTGAGTTTAATATCTTTGTTACCTAATGTGAATGTTAGATTTTTTTCAAATTATCCACAAACTATTCTTATAATCACCTCTTATATATTTTTATGTGTGTTCTCTCTTATCCCATTCTGGATTAAGATGATTCAACAAACTTAATATGAATTAAATGAGAAGGCAAACACCTTCTCAGCTGTCAGAACTCGGGTACAGGGGAATAATGGAGGGAGGGCCCTTACGTAAAATCTGCCTGACCTGCACGGTACTGGGGCTGCTACATCTTCAGCTATTAGGGCTGACCTGTGGAATGATTCTAGCACTGCTCTGTGACCTTGCCAGAAGTTAGTTTCCTGCTTTTTATATGTTTCCAGCATTTCTCTGTTAAAATGGAATGTGTTTTTAAACTAATATATTTTTAACCTTAATAGATGTTGGTCAGTTAGTTATTGAATGATGTTTTTAAAATTCTGTCTTGTTGAGGCCTCTCTGGATTTCAAGGCCCAAGAGAAAACAATGGAAGATAGGATTCAGAATATCGGCAGAGGTGAAGTAATTCTTTAAGCAATTAAAAAATACCTAAGTAAACTTTTTAAAGAGGAAAAAATGTGGTTTCAGAATAATGCTTAGATTGTTGGGGACACCTTATAAGAATCAGGCGCACTTGATTTTTCATATAAATAAATAGTAATCCATCAGTGTCTTGCATTTCAGTCAGACAAGTGTTAACTCTTCTTGTTGATGGAACAAAGTGCTCACAGCTTAACAGAATGGGCACTGAAATTGCATTCTGTGACACACACGGGCACTTGATGCTTAAATGAAGATGGAAAGGTTAGCAATAACTGGGTATCAATTAGAATTTGAGAATTCTATATGTTTACATTTTTTAATGTGCATCTTTATCTGGTGGGCTTCCCATGTGGAAACTTGCACTATAATGAACTAAGAAGAATATCGCCTTGTTATATCTCAGTCCAAGTGCTTGTACTGCGATGGCAATGGCCTCTTCTTGCAAAATGCTAATTTGTGTGCCAATTTGAAATTATTTGAAGGCAGTTCAGCTTAATCTTAAGAATCCTCTTTCTGGGGTAGTTGAGATGAATTTTTAATATTTTGGGGAGTACCTTTAAATTGTGAAAATTCAGGAAAGATTTATTGGCCCTCAGGTTACATGGACAGTTAAGCTTAAGAAAACCATCTTGATTTTTAAACACAAGAGTTTTAATTGGAGAAAAAAAAAAAAAAAACAGTAAAAAATAAATAAACATACGTTCACAAATCGAGGAAAAAAGTGAAAAAGGATTTTGAGTTTCGTGTATTGCTAGATTCATTATCTATGGAGGGGCTGGTGAATAAAATTTAGATTTTTTTAAATACAAAAGTATTAATTTCGAACATGTCTTAAAGTGTGCCCACTGACTGATGTAATTAGAATTATCTGAGAAATGAACTTCAGCATAACTGCATTCTGTGCACTGTAGTAAGCTGTTCTGCATTGGAATGGCCTTCTGTGACTGAACTTTTCTAACTCTGAACTTCACTGCTCTAGAGCCTTGATCTTCTGAGCAGCGGCCCAAGGGGTTTTGCTCTTACCCTTTAATAAGTTTGAGAACAACTATTATAAAGGGGTGATATGTATTTAGAAATAAAGGCTATGGTACATTTTCATCTAATATAGGAAAATAATTTGGAGGGGGGTTGTTTGAGCAGTAAAATTTTAAGGTGATTGAGTATTGCATTTTTTTATCATTTAAAAATACTCTAAAATCAGTTTGTATAAGGCCAACTCATTCACTAATAGGATATAAAAATACCCTCTATTTGTATCAGGTAGCAATTAGTTTTGGGGGAAATCTTTTTGTTTTGCCATAAAGACCCATTAATGAAGAAGACTTGAGGTAGAGTTATAGCTGAGGCTTACCTAGCCTAGTAATGAACTGTATATTTGTGTGACCTGTTACCAGTAATCATAGTGGAGATGATTTAGTTCTGGTACCAGAGAGGCTTTCCTTAAGCAAGCCTGCTTCTCTGCGGTAGATGTGCTGCTACTGTTTTCCTCTCTAATCCTGTGCCTATATTAGATGCTTAGAAATGTAGTTTTTAAAATCGTTTTATCTCTCGCAGAGGAAAACGTGCCACTTCATTTATTTGCATGCCATAAGAGCTGCATATTGGTTACCATTTCATATCTAACAAAATTCAGAAACAAAAATCATGGGCTTTTTACACCCCAAATATGCCATACTATTAGTAAGTTCAGTGCTTAAGAAGTCCGTATGATGGCATACATAGTATGTCTGGAGTGTGGTTATGAGTATGTGAATATTAGTTGGCCGACAAATATTTGGGCATCCACAAATGAGACTATACATTAAATGTAGACATAAACTAAGTCATAAGTTTATAATCAAGTATTGTTTAAAACATTTTCTCATAATTCTTAAACTCAAGATATTTAATTTTATTTGGTATTCCTTTCTTTTTCCCAAACCTAAAATGAGCCAAGAGAAAAAACAGATGATTTTAGAAAGTAATGGTAACATATATGTGGTTTCTGACTTCTGGGATGGTATCATTTCATTATAATCTTGAAATTTAGCTCTTGAAATTCTCAAAGTTTTGGAGGACTTTAGACCCCCAAAATATATCTTTTTTTTAAGTCAGGAGCATTATGAATTCCTATACTTAGGATATTTCTGTTTCTCTTGATTCCAAATGTCATTAAATTAAACCTGTACGTGGTAGAGAGGGGTGAGAGTCTTAGGGTAAGCTAGATGATTTAGAATGAAGTTATTGACTATTCTCACCCTCTTTCAGTCCGGGTACACTTTACTTTGTTTTTCTTTTTTATAAGACATCCTTAAACCATTCTTAAATTTACTGCTGAAAAAAGTCCTCATGACTTTTCAGATAGAATTATTAACTAGGCGATTTCTTACATACTCAAGTGTATTAGAGACCTAACAAAAACTTTTTTTTCCCACCATTACTTAACGGTTTGCCTAAAAGTTAACACCAAAGAATTATAGACAACTGCTTTTGTTTAACTGTCCATTTTTTTTTTTTAATCAAATATAAGCAGGGCAGTGATGGAGATATATATATATACCTTTAAATGAATATTACAAGTAAAATAAGCAAATAGGTATCTGGGGTTAGAGAAGAAATTTTAAAAGAGTAAAGAGGATATCAAGAAGTTTAAGCTGGACTAGCCGTATTTGCAAGTGAAGGATCTGGTGCTGCTTTCAGATGTTTATCCTTTGTGTTTTAAAAGTTTTTCTTAAGCTTTAATCTTCGTTATTGTCTTAAAGTCAGCTGGTGTTCCTTGTTCATGGCCTTTGGTGCGATGGTGCTTTGCAAGGATGTGTTTATATTTTAATGGCCAACATTTGGTCAGCCCTTGTCCACTATTCACTTCCCCTTTTTGTAAAATAAGTGCTTTCATTGTAAACTGTATAAAAATACCTTGTATAAATCCCCCTTTTCATTATTACAGTAAGCTGAGTTGTAACAAATGAAATGTTGATTTTTATAATAAAACAGTGGAAAATAAAAATGTCATTTCTTTTCAGCAAGAAATTAAAACAGCTGATTGTGCTTTGCTGTGATAGACTGTTGTATTTCAGATACAACAAAACTCACCTTCATTGTTTGCATTTCAAATAAAATACAGCCTTGGAAGAAAGGCTTGCTTTCTGGCAGTAGTTGAGCTCAAACATCAGGTAGTTAAATGGAAACCAAGTTTTAATATAAAGGTCTTTCCTTAGCAGATGCTTTTGAATCAGCCAGCTTACCTTGGCTTCTTTGCTGACCCTCCCATTGTTTCCTCTGGAGGGAAAACAAAAATCATGTTAGGTTGTGCCATTTCCAGCTGAGTCAAAGAAAAGAAAGGCGGAACTATGGTTGGTTTGCCTGATTTAAAGGCAGGTACAAGAATGGGGAAAACAGTGCGAGTTGTTTGGGGTTCTTCTTTTCCCAGGTAGGTTTTCAGCTAAGTTTTTGGTTTTTAATTTTAATTCTTTGCCTTGTATATGGTTACATTATTTCCATAAATTTAAATCAAAGGATAGGTTACTGTTGACGAGGTTCAGGCCAAGCTACTCCCTGTATGGTAATTTGGCATCTTGAATACCTTAAGCTGAAGGAATTAGGAAATGGCATGTACAGGAAGGACTCTGACCTTCCCTGACGCAGGTTGTCAACCCTCCTGTGAGAGATGCCTTCTCTGTACCCAGAGGACAGGAGCATCCTTATCTCAAAAGAAGGGACACAGGAACCTGAAACAGGCCCTGTTAAGTTTCTCCCATTTTACTACACTTAGTTCATACTATTTATAGAATGAATATATATTTCCATCATATCTTTTCATGACTTTACACTCTTTATCAAAGCTAATATAAACACACTCAGGTTTAACCCTTTTATTGGGTCTTCATTTCCTTATGAGGGCTTCCATGTCACATAAAACGTTAAATATATTTGTGTGCTTTTTCTTGTGAGGGATCCCAGTCCAGAATTTAGATATTTTCATCTGCACAACACCCTATCCAAAAATTTTGAGATTTGCATTTGTAAATTCAGATTTAATCACCGTATAAAGCTGATCTTTTCCAATAAAGAGGCTAAAAAAGGATAGTTCTGCTAACTGGGTCTGAATTTACTTTGTACCAGCTACTATGATAAGTATCCCATTTTTCCCCCTCAAAATAACCAACTGATTAATGACTAGTCTTGACAGGAAATGCCAAATTTGAGTATGAAAAACTCCAGTGCAAAATTTTGATCAGATACCGTTGGCAGTGAGTAGAGGGAAAAGGAAACTGCACTGGGATTTAAACTAATTTCTGTTCCATTTTAATTAACTCTCAAGATATGTCTGAACTCATTTATTCTCTCATTGTTTGTTGGTACTAGTCTCTACTGGAGTTTTCTGAACCTTGACTCTTCAGCCAGCCAGTTCCACTACCTTTCCAGACAGCTACTGTATGTAAAGCATTCTAGGTGATGAGTAGCATTACAGGGTTTCTGGAGGCCAAACATCTTTGTAGTGTCCTATTCTTTGCAGATACCGTTGCAGGGTTGCAGGCCTCCTTTCTTCTGATCTCTGATCTTGCTCTGCATTTCAAAGGAATTTATACTTTTTAAAAGACAGCCGCAGCCCATCATACAGCACAAGCTGTATGGCAAAATAAAGTGATTTTCTTGAGAGCTTTTTGAGTTCTGGTCATCCTCCCAAAAGCTTCCCCACTATCATTACCCAATTTCACAGCCTTAAAGACTCTTGCGTTTTGTCCAGTGATTAGGTTTTTTTTTTCCCTTAGGGATTCCATGGGAAGGAAAGGGTTAGAGCCCTCAGATTCTATGCAGTGCTGCGATTCGTAGGCACAGATGTATATCACGGGAAGGTTTTTAAGTGCAAATTCAATTTAGATCTAAGGTGATTTATATTTTCTGTTCTTATATCAATTTTCATTGTTGATGTCTCAGGAATTTGTCCATTTCATCTCTGTTGTCAGTTTATTGGCATAAAGTGTGTCCCTTAACCTTTTGTTTTCATTTCTGACATTGGTAATTTGTCTTATCCATATTACCAGTCTTTTCAAGAAATTAGCTCATGTTCTGATTTATTTTCCTCTATCGTATGTCCATTTTTCTATTTCATTGTTTCCTACTAATTTCCTTCCTTTTACTTATTTTAGGGTTAAATTTGCTGCTGCTTAAGGTGCAAGTTTATATCATAGATTTTAGACTGTTTCTGATATAAATATTTAAAGCTATACATTTCCCTCTAAGCATAGTTTGGTTGCACTTCAGAAATTTTGATGTTTTCATTATCATTTAGTTCAAAACATTTTCTAGTTTTGCTTGTGATTTCTTTTTTGAGCCATGGGTTACATAAAAGTGTTTAATTTCTAAATATTTGAGGATTTTCCAGGCGTTTGTTCTTTTTAGATTTAATTTCATGATGGTTATATGTACCATACGATTTTAATCCTTTTAAATTTATTGAGACTTGTTTTATGGGCCAGACTATAGACTATTATGGTCTATAACAGTGAATGTTTTATGGGCATTTGAGTAGGAGTCTGCAGTTGTTAGATGTAGTTTTCTATAAAGGTCAAGAAGGTTAGATTGGTTTATATTGTTCAAGTCTTTACTGATTAATCAGTTACTGAGAGTGTAGAGATTTCCATCTGTAATTATGGATTTGTCTATTTCAACTTTTTGTTTTAATCAGTTTTTGCTTTATTTCAAGCCTTGCATAATTTAGGATTATTATGTCTTCTTAATAGGTCACCATTTTATCATTTTGTAATGTCCCTCTTTCTCCCCATATTCCTTGACCTGAAGTCTACGTTGTGACTGATATTAATATACCCATTCCTGTTTTCTTAGTTTCTCATGTATCAGGTAGTGTTGAATTGTAGGATACCCAGCTCGTGTTGGAGAATTCTTGGTGGTGTGGAAACATACATACACACATACACATACACACAGCAGAAGATGCATAAACATTAGAATTATGTCTTCTTGATGAATTGACTTTATTTTTAAATGACATTAATATTAACACTAATGTTAATATTCTTTGCTCTGAAATCTACTTTGGCTGATGTTAATATAGCCACTCCATCTTTCTTTTGACTTGTGTTGTCATATTTCTTTTTTTCATACTTTTAACATAATGTCTTAATATTTAAAGTGGGTTTTTGTTTGTTTTTTTTGTAGGCTGCATATAGCTATGTCTAGCTTATAGAATTTTGTGTTGACAGCTTTTTTTCTCTTGATACTTTCAAGATGGTACTCCATCCTCTTCTGTCTGTATGATTTCACAGGAAAAGTTTGCTATCACTTTTCTTGTTTCTCTGTGTAATGTGCTTTTTTCTCTGGCTACTTTCAAGATTTTTTTTTCATCACTGGTTTTGAGCAATTTATAATGTGTCTTAACATAGTGTTCTACATATTTTTTTTTTTGTAATTGGCATTTATTGAGTTTCTTGGTTTGGTGGGCTTACAGTTTTCATCAAATTAGGAAATTCTTCACTCCAGTTACACATATATTAGGCCAGTAGAGGTCACCCCACAGTTCTCTGTTGCTCTTTTTTTTCTCCCGTCTTATTTCTCTGTGTTTTAATTTGGATCTATTGCTATGTCTCCAGATTTACTTATCTGTTCATCTGTAATGTCTAGTCTATTAATCCATTCAAGTCTACTTTTCATCTCAGAATTATAGATTTCTTCTCTAGAAGTTTGATTTGACTCATATTTATAATTTCTATGTACTTCGCATGTTTAGTCTTTCCTTTGGCTTATTATGCATATGCAATATAATTAAAATAGTACTAATATCCTTGTCAGGTAATTCTATCAGCTCTATCATTTCTGGGGTACCTTTTCTTGACTTTTCTCCTCATCATGGGTCTCTTTTTTTTTTTTTGCTTTTTTACATGCCTTGTAATTTTTTATTGGATGCCAGACATTGTCTGTTATCTTGTTGAATGTTGGATATTCTTGAGCTTTGTTCTAGAACATAACTAAGTTGCTTGGTAATGCTTTAATTCTTTTGGTTCTTGCTCTTCATCTTGTTATGAAGAACCAAAAGTGTGTTTAGGGCTAATTCTTTCCCATTACCGAGGCAAAATTCTTCTGAGCATTCTACCTATTGCCATGCAACTTTTGAGGTTTTTCCATTCTGGATAGTGGAAATAGGCACTACTCCAAGCCTTATATGAGCTTTGGAGAACGTTCCCTTAATATTTTCAGGCGGTTTTTCCCTAACTTTTGGATAATGTCTCACATGTTGATCAGTATTCATCTGAACACTTGTGGGGAACTATCTGCAGATCTCTGGAGCTTTGTGTTCCATTCTCTTCTTTCCAGCAAACTTTAGCTGCCTTGGCCTTCCTGGACTAGGCTCTACTCAGGGAGACTGTCGAGCCCTGCATAGGTTCCCCTCCTTCCAGCACAGCCCAAATACTTTTTATCTGCAGTATTCTAGGGTATTCATAGGGCTCACTTTGTTTCTCATTTCTCAGGGACCAGTCTTTCATTACCTGAGGCACAATGTTCTGTTCTTTCATATATTTTGTCTAGTTTTTTTTTTTTTTTCCCAGTTATTTTAATGAGGAGATTAAATTCAGTTACTATTACTTCATCTTGGCTGGGAGCTGCAGATGATATTGGAACACTTGAAGAGCTAGTTAAAGTTATACATACCTTGGGCCATATTCCAATCTTAACTGATTTATAGGTTATAGCAGTGAGGTTAAGGTATGGTTCTACAACTGTGCACTGAAAATATGCCAGACATTAGGTATACAAAATCAAATTAGACATAATATTTGTTTACAAAAGAGTTTGCGATCCAGTGTGAAAGACTGGCTCTTATGTACAATATATTAAGTATGATGTCTATATATAGAGTGTTATGGAGCATCCTTATGAAGAAAGGTAACCAAATGTAGCCTCACTGTGGCCAAAGGAGGCTTAGAAAATACTTCCTGGGGGAAATGGAGTGAATGAGGAGATAGGAACTAGAGTTAGTCAAATTAGTGGAAATGGGGGCAAGAGGACCAGCAGGCAAGAACACCTCAAATGGAGAATATATTGTTATGAAGGCTCTGGGCTGCAAAGTTGCATAATACATTTGGGGAACTGCAAATAGTTTGAAATGGTTAGATCAAAATGGGAAAAGGGATGGTCTCCAGTATTTCCACCTGTAAGAGAATAACTCATTTTAATTGAGATGGGTCAGGTAGTAAAGCATGTGATAATAGATAGGTCCAACTTTCCCTTGAAGCTGAAAGCATGTCTGATTAACTAATTCATTTATTTGTTCCCCAAAGGTTTATTTAATACCTATTTTACATCAGGCTACATGTTGGGTGCTCAGGGTCCAGAAATTTGTAAGACCCTATAATTTGAAAGTATTTTTAAACATTGGTATATCTTAAATACTTACTATGAAACATATTTCGCTTACTAAAACACCTCATTCTGAACAGTGTCATTTTCAGAAAAACAATCTGTGACTGCTTTGAGAAGAGAGGAAATTTTCAACTTAGCTCAGGGCAGCACATGATAGTGAACATAAGTGAACACTTGGCACTAAGTACCAAGTACTGTTCTAAGCACTTTATATAAATTAATTCATTTTATCCTCATAGAATTTTTAGTACTATTATTTATTGCTTATTTTAACCATGAGATACTCTCATGACAGTGGTCTTTCTACATATTTATTTACCAGCTGCTACTCAGCCCACTCCCACAAAAAATAACAAAGTTCCAGAGACCTTGAGAGGCAGAGGTGAGGTCACTGAGAGAGCTGAGGGTCGTAGGAGTAATTGTTTTCTGCCAAATGGAACTTTTTTAAACTGCCAAAGAATTCTCCCAGGGAAGTGAGTCAAGATATGGCAATATCTCCCCAAACTAGTAGCTATAGCAGTAAACTCGAGAGTCTCTTTGAGCTATGTCTACCAATATGAACAGCAACATCTTAAAGGTAGGCTTGAAACAATGTCATTATTAAGCCATCCTAAGTATAGTTTAAAAAATAAATAGTACTGGAAACCAAAGAGTAGGCACATGCACAATTTATCATTTTGCCCTCATGAGCTCGGTGAATGTCTGTAACACACGTTTCCTAAGTTGGCCGGCAGAGGTAGGATGATGGTTTGTTCTGAATATTTGAAAGGAAAATTACCACTTGTCCTTCTAGACTTCCCCACACTCTTAGTGGAGGGCCTGAGAAACATGGATGTCAAGGCCATGCTACTACAGTGTATGAGCTCAGATGAACAAGACTTCTCCTGATGTCTCTTTGGTTCACAGGAATAAGGTTTCGAAAACTTCAATGCTCCATCTGCCATGTATATTTTTATTTTCTCCTGGAGTCTCTGCTGAGACTGATGTACACAGGACCACAGTTGGCCAATGAGAATTCCAGATTACACATCTGATGTTTCAGTCTACTTCTTCATGTGGTATCCCAAGTACTTTTTCCTAGAAGGGAGAAAGAGATATAGATTCTTAAAATTCCATGTTTGATTCACTGTTGAAGTGAAAACATATGCCTGTTATTCTGGGTGTGACCCAAGGCTCAGAGATTGTGTTAGGGGTTGGGGAGGGCTTGGAAAGGTGACTGCCATCCTCGGTATGCTTGAAAGGAAAACATCAGCTAAGAATGTAGGTTACCCATCTAAGGCAAACAGGCTAGATGGGAAAAGGCTTTGATGCCGTATTTAAAATTCAAAAGAGTACATCTGGAAAGATCAATGATTACGGAGAGTGTGCACCTCTCCTTTCAGAGTGCTAATGAGTGAGGTGGCAGGACCGCTGGGTAATTACATGGATTGTACGCCACAGTGAGGAAACAGGGCCAAGGAGTGAATTAAAATCTCATGGTAGTTTGTTTAGCATGCTTTGTAAACAGAGTTGTTATTCATTCATTTGATTGGTTGATTCATTATTCTATAAGTATTGACTGAACATATGTGTTGTATATAAAAGTAACGGGAGCTATGAGAGAGAAGAGGCATAAAATACATAATCCTGCCCTCACAGATTTGCAATTTAGTTGGGAAGGTTAGATGCACTTTTATGAAATGTGGAGTACTGAGATAAGTAGGAATGAACCCTGAGCTCCTAAAAGCCTAGGAATAGTTTTCTTCCTTCCACACCACTACAAGGACATCCCAGAGAGCCACCAAAATAAAAAAAATAAAAAAAAACTGAGGCCAATGGAAGTCCTGGAGGCTTGCCACCTGGTGTCATCTTTTTTTCCTGTTCAGGGAAATGGAACACAGGTCTCAGTCCACTTCACACATCTGTAGCTCATAACAGCTTAAAGATATTTTTTTTTATCAACACCCTTCTTTATTCTTTGCAACTCTTTCTTTGTCACTTTGGAAAACTTGGTTCTTTCTCTCTCATTCCTTTTTCTTCCTCTTTTAATTTCCAACTTCGTGCTCCAAATTAAACCTAATTATGTCCAAGACTTGGAATTAAAATTTATGATGACCTGGCAAAGGAAACTAGTAAATTTTGAATTAAAACTACAAATGATGAAGAACTAGCACCATCAAATTCTAAAGCCTTTGAAAATTCCCTTTATTATTTCTACTGACAAATCCATCTGTTTTCTCTAATTAGAAGTGTTTTTCTCTCTAGCAACAGCAGCCAAATTAAAAAAATAATAAAAATGTTTATGTTCTTTTGTCTTTCCTCTTTTTATTTGCTTATTAGAACCACGATTTTTCATAACAAATTTATTGAAATATACTATAAGTCATCCTTTTAACGTATGTATTTCATTGGCTTCTAGTATATTCATAGGACTGTGCAAACCATCACCTCTATCTGATTTTAGAACAAAAGAAACTCCTTTTCATTAGCAGTCATTCACCATTCCTTCTCTCCAAAGCCCCAGGAAATCACTCATCTCTCTATGAATTTGCCTGTTGGGACATTTTGTATAAATGGAATCATGTAATAGATGATGGCTTTTTTGTCTGACTTCATCCATCCATCAGTTCATTTGTTTTTATCATTGAATAATATTCCATTGTACGGATATACCACATTTGGCTTTTCATCATTCATCATTGATGAATATTGGGGTTGTTTCCACTTTTTGGCTTATGAATAATGAATACTGCTATGAACATTCATGTACAAGTTTTTATGTGAACATTTGTTTTCAATTTTTAGGGGTATAAACCTAAGAGCGGAACTGGTAACTCTATGTTGAACATTTCGGAGAACTGCCAAATTGTTACCCAAAGAGGCCGAACCATTTTAGAAGACAACCAGCAGTGTAGGAAGGCTCAAATTTCTCCATGTCTTCACCAACACTTGCCTTTTTTATTTTAACCATGTTAGTAGGTGTGAAATGGTATCTCATTATGGTTTTGATTTACATTTCCCTAATATTGAAATGAAAGTATCAAGCAACCATCTTTTCAGAAGCCATTTGTACATCTTCTTTAGAGAAATGTCTATTCAAATCCATTGCCTCTCTAAAAATCAGGTTATTTGTCTTTTTATTGTTCAGTTGAACAAGTTCACTATATATTCTGAATACAAGTCCCTTATCAGATATACAATTCCCAAATATTTTTCCATTCTCTGAGTTGTCTTTTCACTTTCTTGATGGTGTCCTTTGAAGCAGAAAACTTTTTAATTTTGACGTAGACCAGTTTATTTTTTCTTTTGTTGCTTGTGCTTTTGCTGTAGAATCGCCATTGTTTGTAGGACACTTTTGGCATTTCAGCTACATTAATTAACTAAATAGATTTGGAGAACTGGCCCATGAACCCAATTGATACTTATAATCTTTCTGGAAAATATGTTAAGTGGACCAACAATGATGGTGATTTCCTGTATATAATTATAGTGCAAGCATGAAGTGTTATGAGGTTCAGAGCTGGTGAGGATCTTGAGCTGGAGTGGCCAGGAAAGGCTCTGGGACAGAGGAAGGACTTGAGGGGGTCCTAAATATAAGGTCAAAGAATCTATCCTCTTAGCACAAGTTAAGGCTGCTTGAACTTGGAACACTTAAGAGCCTTAGTTGTTCAGAACAGCGACTTAAGGGTTATCACATCTGGTGCAAAAGTGGAAAATGGGGAAGAACTGAAGATTGGGTGAGTTCAGTGGGCATCCACTGACGACCATGGGAGATACTTCAGCCCCTTAGAAAGATCAGCTGTACTTTTCTTCTGGTGGCCAAGAGACTAAGCCTATTTGGAGGCCTCAGGGTCATGCTGGGCCATGCTGAGAGCAGACTGACCCTGCTGCTGGCCCCTGAGCATCCCCGTGGAAAGGGCTAAGAATCATGTGGGGCAAAGGCCTGTCCTCCCAGGAAGGGCTGAAACAGACAAAAATGCCCTAGGCCTCTTGAGATTTAAAGCTCTGGAGTAAAGCATTTTGACGAGGTTGACCTTATGAGGCTATTTGAACGTGGCAGTTTGAAGGAAATCTCAAGGAATGGGAATAAAGGAGATCAGGTCATTAAAAACAGATGAAAATGTAACTGTTTGCTTTTGAGTTTGTATCTAAATGTCCCCATCAAAATGCTGGGCCCAAGCAGCAATGACAAAATGTCATGAACCTTGAATCTCTGCGTGAGGATTATGCCCACATTTGAGAGTATGAGGAACTGTCTGCCTCTCCTTGTCTCACTGCCAGACTTCTGCTGCCTGCAAAATTTGTGAAAACAGAAATTATATCTATCTAAACATTTTATATCTCAACATCTCATTTCCTGTTACATCTGACCAGTCCCTCTCCCCTGACACACATACCCATGTTCCCTTTGGGAGCTCAGTAAATATTTATTGATGATAAAGATAATCACTAAAAATATGTTCCCGTCAATGGGATATATCTCTTGCCACTCAAGCGTCCTAAACCCATGAGAACTGCTTCACAGATGTGTTCCCTTCACTTAAAAAACAAAATGAAACAAAAAAATGTTTCAGCCCATCTACTCTGAGATCTGGGAAGATGTATTTTTTAAATAGGAGGTACTTACCCATCCGCCATGCTGCTGGACCCAGGACGAAAAATTCTCTTTCAGGTACTTGGTTCCAAAGCCTAGCATCTTGTTCATGGGGTGGTTGTCGATGGCGGTGAGCTTGGCCATGACGTCTATTGCAAGAGCAGCCTTAAAGCCCTGAGCTTTAACTTCTGATTCTCCCCTGGTATCTATACCTCTTAGGAACTGGTCTGTGATGGTCTTGAAAACAGAGTAGGTCAGCCCGTCCCGGAAGCTGTTCATCAAAGCCTTGTCTTTCTTCAGCTGCGTACAAGAAGATAAGCATTTGGTAGAGCAGCTTGGGCTATTGAGGCAGACTCTCTAGCTTAACAGTGGGCCATGAAAACACCCAATGGAAAACAACGGGTTCTAGTTTCAGTCATGGCACAATGTCCTACAGAACCGGACCAGGAATGTGCCTGCTCTGAATTCATTTCCTCTGGACGATCAGTGATATAACAGAGCAGCCCATTAATTCGACATTCAGTGAATGTTTCCTGAGCACTTACAAAGGACAGGTACTGTGGGTGATTAGGATCCACGCCCTCACTCAAGGGGCTCACAGTCTAGTGACAACTGCAACACATTTGTATAGCAAAACAATATAGATGCTTTGTTAGAGATTGTGTCAGGGACAGACTGAAGCCTGGAAATCACTATCTTGGCTCAAACCTCCGCTCCTCCTTTCAGCTGTGCAATCTTGGGAAA